GTGTTTGTGTGTGTTGCGTCTGTGTGTGTTTGCGTGTTTGCGTGCTTTGTGTGGTTGTGTGTTTGTGTGTTTGTGTGTGTTTGTGTGTGTGTGCGTGTGTGTGTGTGTGTGTTTGTGTGTTTGTGTGTTTGTGTGTTTCTGTTTGTCTGATTGTGTGTTTGTCTGTTTGTGTGTTTGTGTGTTTGCGCGCTTGTGTGTTTGATTGTTGGTGTGTTGGTGTGTTGGAGTGTTGAAGTGTTGCTGTGTTTGTGTTTTTGTGTGTTTGTGTGTTTGTGTGTTTGTGAGTTTGTGAGTTTGTGAGTTTGTGTATTTCTGCTTGTCTGATTGTGTGTTTGTCTGTTTGTGTGTTTGTGTTTTTGTGTAGGTGGTTTTATCTGTGTTTTTGTGTTGTCTTTGTGTTTTTGTGTGATGGTGTGTGTGTGCGTTTGTGTTTGTGTGTTTGTGTGTTTGTGTGTTTGTGTTTTTGTGTTTGTGTGTGTGTGTGTTTGTGTGTGTGTGTGTGCGTTTATGTTTGTGTTTGTGTTTGTGTATGTGTTCGTGTTCGTGCTCGTGTGTTTGTGTTGTTGTGCTTTGTTTGTGTTTGTGTTTGTGTTTTTGTTTGTGTGGTCGCGTGTGTGCGAGTGTGTGTTTGTATCTGCGTTTGTGTTTGAAATTTTGTTTGTGCATGTGTTTGTGTGTTTTGTGATTGTGTTCGCGTTTGCCTGTGTGCCTGTGCTTCCGTGTGTGTGTTTGTGCGTGTGCGTGTGTGTGTGTGTGTGTGTGCGTGTGCGTGTGTGTATGTATGTATATATATATATATACATATATCTGTCTGTCTGTCTGTCTGTCTGTCTGTCTGTCTCTCTGTGCGTGTGGGTGGTGTGTGTGTGTGTTGTGTGTTGTGTGCTGCGTGTTGTGCGTTGTGTGTTGTATGTTGTGTGTGTGGGTGTGCGTGCGTGCATGTGCGTGCGTGCGTGAGTGCGTGCGTGCGCGCGCGCACGTGCGTGCGTGCGTGCGTGGGTGGGTGTGTGTGTGTGTGTGGTGTGTGGTGTGTGGTGTGTGGTGTGTGGTGTGTGGTGTGTGGTGTGTGGTGTGTGGTGTGTGGTGTGTGGTGTGTGGTGTGTGGTGTGTGGTGTGTGGTGTGTGGTGTGTGGTGTGTGTGTGGTGTGTGGTGTGTGTAGGTGTGGGTGTGCGTGCGCGTGCGCGTGCGCGTGCGCGTGCGCGTGCGTGTGCGCGTGCGTGTGCGTGTGCGTGTGCGTGTGCGTGTGCGTTTGCGTGTGCGTGTGCGTGTGCGTGTGCGTGTGCGTGTGCGTGCGCGTGTGCGTGTGCGTGTGCGTGCGCGTGCGCGTGTGCTTGGGCGTGCGCGTGCGCGCGTGCGCGTGCGTGTGCGCGTGCGTGCGTGCGTGCCTGCATGCCTGCGTGCGTGCGTGTGTGCGTGCGTGCGTGTGCTTGCGGGTGTGTTTTGTGCTTGTGTTTGTCCTTGTGTGTGTGGGTCTGCGTGTACTTGTGCAAGTGCTTGTGGTTGTGTTTTTTGTTTGTGCTTGTCTTCGTGCGTGTGTGGGTTTGTGCTGGTTTGTGTGGGCCAGTGGTTGTGTTGGTGCGCCTGTGTTTTTGTTTGTGCGCCAGTCTTTGTATTTGTGTGCCAGGCTTTGTGTTTGTGTGCCAGTCTTTGTGTTTGCGTGCCAGTGTTTGTGCTTGTGTGCTTGTGTGCATGTGCCTGTGTTTGTGTTTGCGGGCTTGTCTTTGTGTTTGTGTGTCTGTGTTTGTGTTTGTGCGCCTGCTTTTGTGAGTGTGCCTGTGTTTGTGTTTGTTTGCCTGTGTTTGTGTCTGTGATCTTGTGTGCGTGTGTGTGTTTGCATGTGTTGTGTTTGTATGTGTTTGTGTTTGTGTTTGTGCTTGCGTTTGTGGGTGTGGTTGTTGTGGTTGGGGTAGGGGGTGGGTGGGTGGGTGGGTGGGTGGGTGGGTGGGTGGGTGGGTGGGTGGGTGGGTGGGTGGGTGGGTGGGTGGGTGGGGTGGGTGGGTGGGTGGGTGGGTGGGTGGGTGGGTGGGTGGGTGGGTGGGTGGTGGGTGGGTGGGGGGTGGGTGGGTGGGTGGTGGGTGGGTGGGTGTGGGTGGGTGGGTGGGTGGGTGGGTGTGGTGTGGGTGGGGTGTGGGTGTGGTGGGTGGGTGGGGGGTGGGTGGGTGGGTGGGTGGGGTGGGTGGGTGGGTGGGTGGGTGGGTGGGGTGGGTGGGTGGGTGGGTGGGTGGGTGGGTGGGTGGGTGGGTGGGTGGGTGGGTGGGTGGGTGGGTGGGTGGGTGGGTGGGTGGGTGGGTGGGTAAGGGTGTAACAGGGTTAGAACGTGGGCGGGCAGGCGGGCGAGCGGGCGGCGGGCGGCGGGCTGGGCAATGTTACATCTACTCCAGAAACATGGTGTGAAGCCCAGGCGAACATAACCATCAAAACTGGTCAACCAAAATGACAACCGAAAATACGCCACAGGTTGCCCAGACTGACATCTGGGGGTGTCTTTCAGGAAGTAGAGCGGTCGCAACATCCTTTTCGTGGCCATGGAGACCGCCTTCTCGGGCAACCGAGACGCAAGTCCGGCATCTCGGCGAAGGAGCCACGGCCGTTGCACAGCCTGAGCGAATGATTCGGCTGGTGCACCGAACGATTCCCAAATGGGCCACTTCTGCTTTGTGAGTTATGAGAGGGGGGGGGGTTCGCCAAGCCCTTCTTTTAACTGATTACACCACTCTTGCTTTGACAACCTTCGGGTTTCCTCCGCGGGGAGGAAAAGAATCTGGCTCAACTCTTGCCAGAAGCGCCTCAATTGGTAGTCAGGGACCTCCAACCAACCAACCAACCAACCAAACCAACCATTGAAACCAAAAAGACGAAATGGCGCATTGAAAAAAGATGGCTCATCTCTTTCCTAGGCGCTGCCACCCTTGCTGCTTCAGCACAGCCAGCAACAAGTCTCCACCTGCGTTCTCAAAGTTCAGCACGCTCAACTTGCTTTCCAAGGCTGTCCTGGAGTCCGTGTCAGAATACATTCTGGTGACTTTCCTGTTGGTTTCCCTTCAAACCAACCTAAGAAAGGATACATCATTCACACACACACACACACTTGTGCCATGGTCAAAACTCCCAAAACGTGGGCCGAGCAATGGCTGCCTTACTAAGAATCAGCACAATGGTGGTCTAAACTCCCTTGCCCTGTGGGGGGGGGGGGGGGTATGAGGGAAGATTATACCAAATGTGTCGCAACGTGTTGCGCGCAAACAAAAAAAAGCAGCTTGTTGGGGCTCCTGGCATTTTTCTTTTCCATTTCCTGTCTACGGCTAATTGCTCTAATTAACCTGTCCAGAATGTTGGGACCTATGTGTTTCTATTTTCCTATTGTTTGTAATGTAGTAGGAGAATTAGACACATTGAAAAGAATTGATTGTCCAGCTGGTTTTTCTAATTTAAATAGAAACGATAGCTGAAGTTAAAGGACTACGGAAAGCTTAAGGGAGTCTGTCCAGGCTGGCCCCCCTTATCATCCTCGTCATCATCATCACCATCATCATCATCATCAACATCATCATCATCATCATCATCATCATCATCATCATCATCATCATCATCATCATCATCATCATCATCATCATCATCATCATCATCATCATTTTCATCATGTTCATCATGTTCACGATGTTCTTTTCATTTTGTTTTCCATCTTTTCTATTCGAATAGAAAAACAAAGCTGAACAATCAATCGTGTTTTTCTATGTTGTCTAATTTATCAGGAAAAGGTAGCTGGAAAATCAATCATTTGTTCATTTAATTAGAAAACTTAGCTGCAATATCAATCATTTGTTTCTAATTTCCTAATTATTTGGAGGAGGCTAGGTTTCCGGAATGTTGAGACTATATTAGCTGGACAATCGGTCAATTTGTATATTTGTTCTTTTTTCTAATTAAATTAGCTGAAAAATCAGTCCTTGTTTCTAGTTTTCTAGTTTTATGATTAAACAGAAAAAATGGCTGGAAAATCAGTCATGTTTCTAATGTTTCTAACTATTTGGAGAAGGCTGGGTTTCCAGAATCTTGGGACCTATTTTGTCTATTTTTTTACTTTTTTACTTTCCTATGTTTTAAAAATTAATTAGCAAAATTAGAACAATTAGAAAACTTGACTGATTGTCAGCTATGTTTTCTAACTAAAGAGGAAAAATGAAACTTTGAAACCTTAGAAACAAATAGGTCCTAACATTCCGGAAACCTAGCCTCCTCCAAATAATTAGAAAATAGAAAAATTGAATGATTTTCCGGCATTTTTCTAATTAATCAGAAAATAGAAGAAGAAAACACGAAATATGATTGATTGCCCAGCTATTGTTTCTATTTACATAGAAAAATTAGAGGAACAAATCTGATTTTCCAGCTATTGTTTCCACTTAATTAGAAAAAATATATACATAAAAATTACTGATTTTACAGCTATGTTTTCTAATTCAATAGAAAGAATAGAAACATTAAGAAGATGAGAAAAATTAGGAAAATGGGTCCCAACATTCCGGAAACCTAGCCTCCTCCAAATAATTACGCAAAAAAAGAATATCATGACTGATTTTCCAGCCAATTTGTCTCTCATTAATTAGAAAAATAAGTGCAAAAACACAAACATGACTGGTTCTCCCGCTATTTTAAAATAATTGAATAAAATGACTGGTTTTCCAGCCATTTTTCTAATTCATTGAACAAAATATAAGAATCAGAAAACATGATTGATATTCCTGCTAATTATTTTTGTAACTCCGGTTGGACCCAGACACTTTGAAGCGCAAATGAAAAGGAACTGAAAGGAAATATGGAAAGGAAACAAAAAGGAAATATAAAAGGAAAGGAATTGGAAAGAAAATGGAAAGGACATGGAAAGGACATTTAGAGGAAATGAACAAGAATTGAAAGGAATCGGAAGGAAATGGAAAGGAAACGGGAGCGAAATGGAAGGGGAATCGAAAGGAAATGGAAAGGAAATGGACATGGATTGGACATAGAAAGGAATGGAAAGGAAATGGAAAGGGGCAGGCTCCGTAATTGATTTCATACAAACTTTATCAGCAGTGAGCCTAGAACCGCCAAGCACAAACGTGCCCTTTCCTTTCCATGTCCTTTCCATTGTCTTTCCATTTCCTTCCAATGTCCTTTCTATGTATCGGCAGTGAGCCCCGACTTGCCAAGCACAAACGTTCCCTTTCCTGTCCATGTCTTGTTAGTTGTTGATTGTTTTTGTGAGTTGTTGATTGTTTTTGTTAGTTGTTGATTGTTGTTGTGAGTTGTTGATTGTTTGTGTTAGTTGTTGATTGCTTTTTGTTGTTCATTGTTTTTCTTGTTGTTGATTCATCGCCCTCTTCTGAGCGTCCCATGATGAACATAGAAAAGCATGATGGGTTTTCTAGCTATTGTATCCAACTGATAGAACCATTAGAAAACAATGACTGAATTGTCAACTAGTGTTCTCATTAATTGGAAAATGACAGATTGTCCAGCTATTGTTTCTATCTAGTATGCTGATTAATTGTGAGATAATTATACGGCTACTGGCAGGATCAACCAGGTTAGGAATAGAAAGGACATAAAAAGGACATGGAAGGAATGGCAAAGAAACGGAAAGACACGGAAAGGACAAGAAAGGAATTAAATGGACTTAAAGTAGAATTAAAATGGAATGGACATGGAAAGGACTGAAAAGTAGGGAAAACAAACTCACCCCTTCAACCTCTGTTCGGGGAGATTTACACACAAAAAAGCCACTTTTCCGGCTTGGTTGGCCTTGATCACTTCATTAGAGAGGAGCGAAAAGGAATGGAAAGAAATGGAAACACAAAAAAGGAAAGAAAATGGAAAGAAGTGGAAACAAAATTGGAAAGGAAATGGATAGGAAAAGAACTAGACAGAAATACACGAAATAGAAAGAAAGAAATGGATTTGAAATGGAATGGACATGGAACACACATGCAGAGGAGTGAAAGGAACATGGAAAGGGACGGAAAGATATAGGTATATTTTTTGAGGAAATGGACATACGAGCACGTGTTTGGCCCGGGCTGGCCTTCGGCACTTCTAGCTAGGAATGGAAAGGAAGGAAATGGAATTAAACGAGCGCGTGTTTGGCCCGGGCTGGCCTTCGGCACTTCTAGCTAGGAATAGAAAGGAAAGAAATGAAGTTAAAATGGAATTGACATGGAATGGAAATGGAAAGGAATGACAGGGAGGGAAAAGAAACTTGCCTCTTCAGAACTCTTTTGAAAGAAATTGCAAAATGAGCAGTTCCTTTCTTCCTCCGCTTTTACCCAGGATATAGGTAAGAGATCCCAAGAGCTGATATTAAAACAAGCTATCCATCGCTTCGCTAGCTGCCACAGCCTTACGACTGAGGAAGAAGTAAATCCTAATGTATGAATCTTATGTCTCTATATCTGTCCTTCTCATAATCCTTCTCATGCCAACAAAAAGAATTCAGATTTGGAGAAGGAAGGACAGATAGGTGACTAGGAGATCCTCTATACAAGCCTTATAAATGCGAACGAAGATATCCAAAAGTAGATTTAATATGTTGTAGATTCCGGTCTTAAGCCGCTGTGTGGGGGGCATCTTCCAGAATATCACACACATTGGTTTACATTTATAAGCATTATCTATTTGATTTGCTAGCTGTATTTTGTCTTGCCATGAATATCACTAATCTATTATTTACTTGTTTCATCTCTGTGTCTTGTTTATAGGAACTCTATTCCTTAAGATCTTAGTGCTAGGACTGTAAGCGCTTCAAAGATGGGAGATGCATCCAAAAGCGTTCATTATCTGTCTCTTTCCTGTCCTTTTACTGGTATGCTTCTTGGAAATTCCAGAGTCAGAACTGTTGCAGCTAAACAAAAGCAAGATAACATTAATCATATGAACGAAGGGACATCTCCTTGCCTTGCAACCCCTCTTTCCCTTAGTAATCACGGCGGTGAGATAGGAATGAGTTAGGATAGGATAATATTGGGACATGGGCTAGACCTTACTTTTCATGCCATTTGGCCCGGGCTGGCCTTGGGCACTTTTCCATCTCCGTTGCTTGTCTATTCCATTTCTCCATTTCCTTTTCAACGACTTTCCTCCCTTCTCTTTCCTTTCCATTCCCGAATATTTAAAAAAATGATCGGTTCCATTCTTTTGTGTTTCCATGTTCTTTGCATGTTCTTGCTATTTCTTTCCATTTCTTTGCTTCTCTTTCCATTTATTTCTAGTCTTTTTCCCGAAAAAGTGCCCGTTTCGCAATTGTCAATGTCAATAATGTTGAAGCAGCAGGTGTCAATTTCATTTCTTTGAAATTCCTTTTCATGTCCTTTCCGTTCCTTCCATATCCGGCTCAATCCTTTCCATGTTCATTTCGATTCAATTCCTATTCTATTATTTTGTTTGTATGTCCTATCCATTCCTTTCCATGTCATTTCCATTGCCTTGAATTTCCTTTCAATTTCCATTTCTTTCCATTTTGTTTCCCTTTCTTTCCACTCATTTTCATTCCTTTCCATTCCTAGCTAGAAGTGCCCAAGACCAGCCCGGGCCGAAAAAGTGCTCGTTTCGCAATTGTCCATGTCAATAAATTTGAAACGGCGTGGTTCCTTTCCATTTCTTTAAGATTCAGTTTCATGTCCTTTCCGTTCCATATTTGTTTCATTCCTTTCCATATTTATTTTGATTAAATTTATATTCTATTCCTTTGCTTATATTTCCTTCCCATTTCCTCTCCTGTCCATTTCTGTGACTTTCTCTCCCTGTCTTGTCCATTCCTGTCCATTCTTTTCTATCCCTTCCTTTCCATTGCTTTCCATTGCTTTCCATTGCTTTCCATTCCTAGCTAGAAGTGCCCAAGGCCAGGCCGGGCCGAGAAAGTGCTCGTTTCGCAATTTCCACTCCTTTCTTTTTCACGTCCTTTCCATTTCTTTCCAATTCCTTGTCATGCCTTGTTTCCATTGCTATTTCCTGTTATTACATTTGCAATTGTGCTTCCATTAGCTTTCATGTGTTCCAAATATTGTTGTTCCATGACGTTTCTATTTCGTGACTGTTTCCTTTTCATTTCGCTCCATTCCATGTCGGTTATTCTTTTCTACTAGATTGATTTTGCTACAAAGCGTGATGCTACGCCACTGATGTATCTCGTAAATTAGGAAACGTTAACTATCATAAGCAACGGAAAAAAAAAGGAAGAAAAAAAAAGAAACAAAAAAAATACATGGAGATGTACACGTCTTGCATCGAAACAAAACAGAGGATGCGTTTGTGCTTCATTCACTAAATTGGTCTCTTTCATTTAAAGAGATCTCGTCTCTGACACGCCACGCACGCGCGCGCCACATTTGGTGCAATCTTCCCAACCACGGGGGTGAGGGCGGGGGAAAGAGTGTGGCAGTAAATTGGCGCCAGCGAACCCTGTTGGAGGGTCGAACTGCGAGGAGAAGCCCTTCGTAATGTCAATGGATGGCATCCCTTCGACTGGAGGGGCCTAAACGAAGATAGACTTTCCTGTGCAAAGCTTCAGCCTCAACGCCCTCAGCTCCATAGACTTCCTGGGAAACGGGGGGGCACTGTCATGGTCCCAGGGCGGCTCAGCTCGAACGGGGTCAAGCATGGTGCTCCCCAACAGGTCGGCAAAGCCACAGAAATCTTGCAAAATGCTGAATGGGGAGGACAAATGGTACAAAAGTGGCGGGAACTTCCAACATTCCCGGAAAGTCTTTGAACATCACCCAGCTAACTCCAACTTGCCCCAAAAACACAACCCCCAAAAGGAAAAACGCCAAGGACCCATCCCACGCTAAAGCCACCCCCAGCCCACCCCCTCCCCGCCCTCCCCGCCCTCCCCGCCTCGGCCACCCCTGCGCAGCGGAGAGGCCGCAGGCCTCCGCCGCCCGCCTCGCCGCCGCGGAGTCGCGGAGCGCCTTCTCCGTGATTGCCAGGGCCACGGCGAAGAGGCGGCGGCTGTGGTGCTGCCGCGCCGCCATGATGGCCACCCTACGGCCCAACCGGACGGAGGAGGGACGAATGCGGGGGGGTTGGGGGCGGTTGGGGCGGGGGTAGGGTGGGGTGGGGGGGGGGGCCGGTGGGAAGAAAGGACTGGATACGTTGGATACGTGGGCAAGGAACATGAAAAGGGGGTCTATGGAGAAATGTGGCTTTCTGATACCCCTTTGTTCAGTGGTTCTGGTATTAAAATGGGGCGGAATCTATTAGGAGCACGTCCCCGTCTGTGATGCCAAAGTAGACCATCCCCCAAGACTACTATCCACCATCATGTGGGATAATTTACCAGAGCAAAGATGCAAAGCACCACGTTTGCCTTAAATCAGGTGCCTTTTGTAGGGAAAGACAACCGGAAGGCACCAAAGACCAAGACGCGTTGTCATAGGTGTCCTTTTGGCGAAATCGATGGCTCTGGAAAATGGAATGAAACCAATCTTAACCAGCCATCTATTTCTAATTAAACTAACTTAAAAAGGACGCCTATGTGCGTGATGGCTTCCCAACTTAGGCAACCTCAGGCCCGGATTTCTCCGGTCCTGCCAGCGAGCTCGTCCTTCAGCGTCATCTTCCCGCCGGTCACGGTGAAGGCGCGCGCTCTTGCCACCTGGAGGGATTCTGCCACGGGGGGACGAAACATGGGTCTGTCTTGACAAACCCCCTTCTTTTTTGGTTCAAGAGAAACGAAGAGGAAACCAACCACATTTCGGGGGGTCCCCTAAGACACACCCACATGCTGGCAGCAAACCCTGGCCCTTTGTTGAAAGGGTCGCCCTGTCGTGCATGACGACCCATCGTTCGCCAACCGAACGACGCATCCCCTGGTCATTCTCCTGAAGTCCAGAAACCGGACCATGAAACAAAACGAGCCGGACCCTTCAGAGATGTCTTCACTAAGAACAGAAAAGGAATTGTTGCCGTTCCCAGGCTGCAGAGTTGTGACACCACATGCTTGCACCACACTTTCCTAAACATAAACCGCTTGGGGAAATGAGTGAGGGAACTTTCAGCGACTCCTATGCCCCTCCCAAATTGGCCATACACTGCGGGTATGTTAAAACCTCACGTGACTGAGAACAAACGTGCTTGCTCAAGTGGACATCTTTTACATGGGGGGGTCATGTCTATGAGCGACTTTGAGGATAAACTTTAAGGTCCGCAGCCATTTCTCTGTACAAAATGCTCTCTCTGTGGAGCACTTTGCCTCCTCATCCTTGTCCTTGTCATCTTCCAAGACGCCCTGCTTCTTCAATTCCTGTACCGAAAAACGCGAAATGGGTGGCAAATCAAAGTGGACCGAACTAGAGTTGCTGCCGCATCAAGCTCCGCATTCACTCACAAGAGATCCAGACTGCAAACAACCCGTGTCTGAACGAGTCCCATCAAGAGGAATAACTACGTGCTCCAGTCCAACGGGCCATACCTCACCCATGACTTGTGTCCAGTCAGCGGTCCAAGTTTCGCCTAGGCAACCCAATGGCTGATGTACCCATCCAGGGCCCCTGGTGTAAGTCTACCTGGAGGGTCAACATGGTGGGCATTAAAAAAAAAAAAAAAACTAAACCTATGTCACGGTTATGACTACCGCTTCTCTTGGCGCGGTGGTTCGTTGATCCCCTGCTAGTCAAACTTTTAGTGGGACATGTGACTTCTTCAAAAAGTTCAACGGTTTAAGACACAATCATATAAAACCTATTTGTATGAGATGACTAAGTGAAAGTCTAAGTGCATGGCTGGGAAGCGGCGAAGTCACGGTCTCACGCAACCCCGGACCCTCTGCCGTCGGACCCCGTCGCCGTATTTAAAAAAGAAGAAGAAAAAGAAGAAAAATAACAAAAAAACAAAAACGCGCCTCGAGCAGTGCCGCCCCACCTGCGGCGGCCGTTGTCATGAGCTTCTGCGGCTTCCTGCGTGCCCGGTGCTCCAACTCCTGGCCGGTCAAAATGTCAGACTCTGCACTACCTAAGAAACCCCTAGAACAATGATTCCTCTGTAAATACCAACGAACAATGGTTTCCCATGGTTCTTGGGTGGTGCGAAATGGATTTCGTCCATCCACAGTAGGTGTCCTTTGAAAATATCTGGCCCGGGGTAGATGATCAAAAACTACTAGGTAAACCAGGAATCGCCAACCATTCTTTTTCCACCAAAACAACCACAAAGGCCACCTATGCCAGGAGAGGGAGCCCTTCTTAAGCCCTTCTTAAGCCCCAAATAAGACCTTATTTGGGGCTTGTTGGGCCTCCCTCCCCCCCCTCCCTTCCCCCAGCCATGAAACATGTCAGACTGCTAACAATGTTGGGAGGGAACCCAGGCGAAGCATACAAATCTCAGCAGATCGGTCAGGAAACGAAACCTATGTTTGAAGGCACAAATTCCTTCACGCGCACTCAAGGCCGAAGACTTTTGCTCGACTGGCCTCCTGCGGAAGAAACCACCCTGAAACCATACCTCCCAGTAGTCTCCTTGGCCATCCAAAGAACCCCCCTGTCATTCTCGCCTCTGATTTTTGCCCATGCCCAAAAACACGGAGAGCGACGTCCAAAGTTCCCACCACAATGGGAAATGGGACCAGACTCAATGCACAAATATGACATGCATGCGCACACACACACTAACACAAACACAAGCACAAACACAAACACGCGTGTTGTTGTGTGTGTGTGTGTGTGTGTGTGTGTGTGTGTGTGTGTGTGTGTGTGTGTGTGTGTGTGTGTGTGTGTGTGTGTGTGTGTGTGTGTGTGTGTGTGTGTGTGTGTGTGTGTGTGTGTGTGTGTGTGTGTGTGTGTGTGTGTGTGTGTGTGTGTGTGTGTGTGTGTGTGTGTGTGTGTGTGTGTGTGTGTGTGTGTGTGTGTGTGTGTGTGTGTGTGTGTGTGTGTGTGTGTGTGTGTGTGTGTGTGTGTGTGTGTGTGGTGTGTGTGTGTGTGTGTGTGTGTGTGTGTGTGTGTGTGTGTGTGTGTGTGTGTGTGTGTGTGTGTGTGTGTGTGTGTGTGTGTGTGTGTGTGTGTGTGTGTGTGTGTGTGTGTGTGTGTGTGTGTGTGTGTGTGTGTGTGTGTGTGTGTGTGTGTGTGTGTGTGTGTGTGTGTGTGTGTGTGTGTGTGTGTGTGTGTGTGTGTGTGTGTGTGTGTGTGTGTGTGTGTGTGTGTGTGTGTGTGTGTGTGTGTGTGTGTGTGTGTGTGTGTGTGTGTGTGTGTGTGTGTGTGTGTGTGTGTGTGTGTGTGTGTGTGTGTGTGTGTGTGTGTGTGTGTGTGTGTGTGTGTGTGTGTGTGTGTGTGTGTGTGTGTGTGTGTGTGTGTGTGTGTGTGTGTGTGTGTGTGTGTGTGTGTGTGTGTGTGTGTGTGTGTGTGTGTGTGTGTGTGTGTGTGTGTGTGTGTGTGTGTGTGTGTGTGTGTGTGTGTGTGTGTGTGTGTGTGTGTGTGTGTGTGTGTGTGTGTGTGTGTGTGTGTGTGTGTGTGTGTGTGTGTGTGTGTGTGTGTGTGTGTGTGTGTGTGTGTGTGTGTGTGTGTGTGTGTGTGTGTGTGTGTGTGTGTGTGTGTGTGTGTCTCTGTGTGTCTGTGTGTCTGTGTGTCTGTGTGTCTGTGTGTCTGTGTGTCTGTGTGTGTGTCTGTGTGTCTGTGTGTCTGTGTGTCTGTGTGTCTGTGTGTCTGTGTGTCTGTGTGTCTGTGTGTCTGTGTGTCTGTGGGTCTGTGTGTCTGTGTGTCTGTGTGTCTGTGTGTCTGTGTGTCTGTGTGTCTGTGTGTCTGTGTGTCTGTGTGTCTGTGTGTCTGTGTGTCTGTGTCTGTGTGTCTGTGTGTCTGTGTGGTGCGTGCGTGCGTGCGTGCGTGCGTGCGTGCTCTGTGTCTGTGTGTGGGTGGGTGTTGTGTGTGTTGTTTGTGTGTGTGTGTGTGTGTGTGTGTGTGGTGTGGGTGTGGGTGGGTGGGGGTGGTGGGTGGGTGGTGGGTGGGTGGGTGGGTGGGTGTGGTGGGTGGGTGGGTGGGGTGGTGTTGGGGGGGGTGGGTGGGTGGTGGGTGCTGTGCGTGCGTGCGTGCGTGCGTGCGTGCGTGCGTGCGTGCGTGCGTGCGTGCGTGCGTGCGTGCGTGCGTGCGTGCGTGCGTGCGTGCGTGCGTGCGTGCGTGCGTGCGTGCGTGCGTGCGTGCGTGCGTGCGTGTGCGTGCGTGCGTGCGTGCGTGCGTGCGTGCGTGCGTGCGTGCGTGCGTGCGTGCGTGCGTGCGTGTGCGTGCGTGCGTGCGTGCGTGCGTGCGTGCGTGCGTGCGTGCGTGCGTGCGTGCGTGCGTGCGTGCGTGCGTGCGTGCGTGCGTGCGTGCGTGCGTGCGTGCGTGCGTGCGTGCGTGCGTGCGTGCGTGCGTGCGTGCGTGCGTGCGTGCGTGCGTGCGTGCGTGCGTGCGTGCGTGCGTGCGTGCGTGCGTGCGTGCGTGCGTGCGTGCGTGCGTGCGTGCGTGCGTGCGTGCGTGCGTGCGTGCGTGCGTGCGTGCGTGCGTGCGTGCGTGCGTGCGTGCGTGCGTGCGTGCGTGCGTGCGTGCGTGCGTGCGTGCGTGCGTGCGTGCGTGCGTGCGTGCGTGCGTGCGTGCGTGCGTGCGTGCGTGCGTGCGTGCGTGCGTGCGTGCGTGCGTGCGTGCGTGCGTGCGTGCGTGCGTGCGTGCGTGCGTGCGTGCGTGCGTGCGTGCGTGCGTGCGTGCGTGCGTGCGTGCGTGCGTGCGTGCGTGCGTGCGTGCGTGCGTGCGTGCGTGCGTGCGTGCGTGCGTGCGTGCGTGCGTGCGTGCGTGCGTGCGTGCGTGCGTGTGTGTGTGTGTGTGTGTGTGTGTGTGTGTGTGTGTGTGTGTGTGTGTGTGTGTGTGTGTGTGTGTGTGTGTGTGTGTGTGTGTGTGTGTGTGTGTGTGTGTGTGTGTGTGTGTGTGTGTGTGTGTGTGTGTGTGTGTTTTTGTTTGTCTATAAATTATATATATATATATAGAGATACATAGATACATGGATACATAGATACATAGATACATAGATGCTTCTATACATATATACTATACACATATACGTATGTTTGTCTTATTTCTACTTCTCATTTGCCCCCTTATCTACTTACCTTGGGGTTGCCCTGCAAGGGTATGGCCCAGGCTCCGGTGAGAGCCCAAAGCAAAACCGGCCAGGGGGAGATCTCATCTGACGAAATGGCGGGAAGGCTTCGGCAGATATCAGACCATGGGCATGTTCGGCCATACTTGAGGATATTCCAGAAGACAAAAAACTTGGGAGTGTAAATTGTGGGCACCATGTTTGGGGCGGCGTGAGAAATCAGAGGGACCGCCCATCAGTTTGGGGGAGTCTCCTCTTGTGACACGTGGCCATCTGCGCAACAGGACAAGGACTCTACCCACGTGATCCTGGCCTCCTCCTCATCATCACCTGCCAGCGGCTCCTTCACGTCCTGCGCGGCTTGACTCAAAACCCCACCTTGCATGCAGTCTTCGTGAAGCCAAGTTGAACCAGCTACAGCCGCTGGAATGGCCCGCGGCTCAAAACATGTGTCCCGGACCATCTTGAATGAGCACTCTGTTGCGGACGTCTGGATCGAGCACTCTGTTCGGGACATCTGGAACACTTTGACGAGCCTTCAGAACTTGTCGGGAGCCCGTTCTTCAACCTCCAAAACCCGCTTTGGACTGGTCTGCAGCAGGTTTGGAAGGGGTCTGGATTGGGGTCTAGAACGGGCGGCTGTCAAATCTGTCCACTTATCACTCGTCCTCTCAGCCCATTTTCGTCTACAGGGCACGGCTTTGTGTTCCACAAGATGCTTTGAGTCTATGAAGCGGTGTAGCCTATGGGAGCCTTTGTTTAATCAACGCATGAAAACCGAAGCTTGAAGGGGGACTCTCAAGTCACAAGTCTCAAGTTGAAAGTGAATATGCAAGATCATTTTACCGTACGGACCATCTCTCTATCTGCTCTCTCTTTCCCGTTTGTTCTTGACTTATTTGTTCCTTTCTTTCGTTATTTCATTCTTTATTCCGTATTTATTTATGTTGTCTTTGTGGCTTTATGTCTTTCTTTCTTTCTTCCTTTGTTTCTTTCTTTCCCTTCTTTCCCCTCTTTCTTTCTTTCTTTCCCAGTCTGGCATGAGGGTCTGGATTGGACGTCTGCAATGCAGTTTCTGGAGCAAAGCCACTCCATGATCCTTTTGTGTGTGTGTGTGGATCGCAGCACAAGGCGTTGGCCTCATGTTTTTGGGCGCTGCCAAATGGGTTCCTCTGAACCAACCCACCAACTTGGTGTTCCACCAAAAACTAAAACGACACACACACATACATGCACACACACACACAGGGAGGCCCAAGACCCACAGAAGCATTCTTCTCATCCAAGGCATCTGGTTCTGAGAACCTCTGCGGCTGGGGCGGGGGAAGTTATTTGCCTTCTCGTGCTCACATCAACCGCAGACATTGAATTGAAGTTGCCCAACCCAAAACAACAACACGCAATGACAAACACACGGTCGGGAAAGAACTTCTGTTTGATTTGCTGGATGCGTTGAATCTTTGGAGGTGAGCCGTGCTCAAAATTGCCCAGACAGAACATGGGACATATGAGTGATCCCTACCCCGTGTCCCTCAATGGGACGATAAACAAATCAGGAAACTTTCACAGAATCCTAGGTGTGGTTTGTCTTTTGCAGGTCTTGATTTTGGTTTGGCAAGAAACAGAACCATCTTCCGCGCGCCTCGAATCGAGGCCGCGCCTTTCTCTTGGGCACCAGGTCAGGCGGGTCCTTTCTCGCAAGCTGAGGCAAAGCGTCTCACAGACCGTCTTAAGAGACTCACTTGTCCGAGCTGTGCGGATATGTTTAATGAAAGACTGATGCTTGGCTTTGGCTCGAAGGTCTCAGTTTGCTCCGCTGGCTGGAAAATCAAGTCGACTCCCGGCAAGCCCTCCATGCAGGTCAGTTTTGTGACTCGCGCAAGGGAAGTGGAGCTCACCAAGACCATCTGCTCGAGACTCGAGCTCGGCTTCAACATGGCTCTTAGCTCTTGATATCGGTAAAATGGTACCTTGAGACCTAAGAACCATGTTGTTGAAGCCGAGCTCTCTGGAGACTTGAACGAATGGTCTTCACATTGGAGAACCCCCGCATGGTTGCAAGATCTTCGACGCCCTTCCTCCCAGAAGCAATGCGCACGCCTTTTCTTTTCATTCTCCCGACCATTGCCATCGAGCACAGCTCAAGGTTCACAAGCAATCAAGCACCATGGACCAGGCAACCAATGTGAAGCCAATATGCAAGCTCGGCCGATTGGAAGTTCTACGCGTTACACGAGTCAAGCGCGCGCAAATCGGAGCCCAACTAAAGACCCCCTCGACCGCATGCCCCACACCCGGCCAGCGGTTTGAAGGACACCAATTCTCCCTGCGGCTCCGTTGGGTGCAATTTCATCCGGCGACATAGGACTTCCCCGCGAGAGACACAACAAGCAACCAGTGTGAGTGAAGCAACCCCCCTGTCAACGAATCTGAATCTTATTTCACAAACAATGAGCCCTTTGCGGGCTTTGGTTGGGTTGGATCTCGCGCCTTAAGGCGCGAGCTTTGAACGTCGAAAGCAAACCCTCTGCAGACGGCAAACACTCAAATCGCTGGGGCAGCGCGGTAACAAGTCAGACTGGGTGGGAACGGATTCTGTTCTCGCTGTAAGTGTGAGCAATGACATCTTCCACACAAAATCATTGCAGAGCTCTTCCCAGGCGTTCAGAGACCTTTCAGTCGCTAGGCTTTAAGAGGTAAGGCTTGCGAGATCCCGGCCAGGCAGAGGCCTGTCCAAGATCCGAGGCCGCGGCCCCAGGTTTGCATGTCGACGCGAAGCACCCGTCTCAAACCAAACCCACCCTTCGGTGATTTTGGGCTAAACCAGCCAAATACCACCGAAAATCTGGCTCCCCTTTGTGCTGCTTCTCCTAAAGCTTTCCATTCAAAAGTGCACAGCTCCAAGATTTTACTGTAACTGCGCGCAATGCCCACGCAACGTGTCCCTTTCGGGCCGCAACTGGCCTCCGCATCGTCGTCTGCCCCGAAGCGGACGCATTGCATCAGCGCTGGGCGCAGCTGCGCTCAAGCCATCTGGAGGGATCAAGGCACCTATGGTGGTCCTTCTGCCACCTTTTTGCAGCCAGATTTGGCATACCTGGAATCCTGAATCGCTTCTCGGGGCTGAAAAGGGACACATGCGTCTCTGTCTGCAAAGAACCAACCCTCTGGAAAATTCGAGCCACGTCACCTGGTCCCTTTCAACTTGTTTGAGCGACAAGCAACAAACGCCTTTGGCGCTTGAGCCAAGCTGAGGCCAAACAACGCCAATCACTTGGTCGTCAAATGCACGAAAGGGGCTGTGCCCGGTATGACCGGTCGCTCGAACACCAGGTTCACCCCCGAAAATGCACGTGGAGAAGTCTCTTGTGGGGAAATCGTCGCGTCATGTCAACTTCGGAATCCGGAAAGCCACACTGGAAGGATCGAATCATCCTATGAATTCATGGCCACTGAGATCAAGCCTAAAAAGTAGCCCGGATGAATCCGAGGTTGACTGCAAAATCTACAATGATCCGAAGGGATCCCCAAAAGCACTTACCTGGTGAGCTCATTTTACGGAGGCAGATGCAACCTACCCTAAACCTACCATTAAATATATATATATATATTATTATTTATATATGAAGAAGAAGAAACAAAACGCACAACCTTAAACCCTCTCAAATCCGATGGGCCCATGCCACCAGCCTCACAGGCGTAGCCAGAAGCGCCAACGCCAGAGCGCGCCGAAGCGTGTCCCTGCCGAACGACGGTCTCAGTGGTCTCAGCCAAGGCGAGAAAAGCCTTGATCGTCTTTTGCGGTTGAAAAAGTCCCACAAGTTCCAACAAGAGGCGTCATCTCAAGCCGGAAAGCCGGAAAGCAGAAACAAACCGTTTCATGATGGCAGGGCCAACGCCAAGGTGAGTTTTGGTCTTTTCAAAGCTATTGCTTGCTTGGTTCAATGGAGGCTCCGACGATTTGCAAACCTAAGGTTGGCGCTTCCAGATCCGTCAAAAACCAGCCAGGGGTGAGGCAACATGGGAGTCGTGGCCCGCAAAAGGTACGGCGTGAGTCTGACGTGGTCGGAACGTGCTACGGTCGTTGGAAGATCCAACTCAGACAGCTTTCCGCCAAACCGAGAGCATCGGGGGGGCTGAACCGCCACTCAGAATCTGATGTTGACAATCAAGAAGTCAAGCTGATTTCAGCACCAAGGTGTTGACGTTCCGCTGCTTTCGTCTTTTCAAGCGGAAATGCCCCAATGGTTGGAATGGAGAAGCTAGGTAGCTCCAGAAAGAGAGTCTAGCTGACATATTTTGCGCTGCCACGTGCTGACAGCTGCGAACCTGGTGATACATGTTTTGGCCAGGCGAGGACACCTTTCGCTGCGATGCTGCGAGAAAATGATGGCATTCTCCATGCTTGGGGCGGCCTCCCAAAACGAACCTGTTTGCTTGGGCTGGGAGTCGCGATCCAGTGCTCGTTTTAGCGTCCCTCCTTTCCGGCACGGAAGTACGAGAGTAGCAAAAAGACGAACCCAAGTTGCACAGCGCGAAACCGCCTGCCCGCCAACCGGGAAGCCCCTGGAAGCCGGGAACGCGGCCCGCCTGGCGGTTTGGGAAGCGACAAGGGACCCTTGGGTTCTACCAAGTTGGTTGGTCTTAACCCCAAAAGTTTTTGAGCTTGGTCGTTTTAACCCCAAAGTGTTTAACCCCAAGTTGGTTGGTCTTAACCCCAAAAGTTTGCTTTGAGCTTGGTCGTTTTAACCCCAAAAGTGTTTAACCCCAAGTTGGTTGGTCTTTTTAACTTGCTTTGAGTTTGGTGCCCCAAAAGTTTGTTGGTTGAAAAGGAGAACCGACACGACAGGAAAACCCCGACTTTCATGCATATAGTTTTGGGCGGGGGGGGGGGGGGGGTCCGGTACAAAAGGACAGACCCAAATGGGTTCCCTTCGAATACATGTGGATCTAACTGCATGGTTTCTTGTTGATTGCCCTGAGAAACGCTCAAAGAAGACACGCCATATTTCCGTCCAAGTGCCGCCAAAATAGAACTCTTTGAAGCCTTGAAGCACAAAGAGAGGGAGAGAGAGAGCGAGAGAGAAACGGAGAGAAACGGAGAGAAACGGAGAGAAAGAGAGAGAAAGAGAGACAAAAAGAGAGGAAGAGAGAAAAAGAGAGAGAGAGAGAGAGATACTAAAAGAAAGAAAGAAAGAAAGAAAGAAAGAAAAAAAAAAAGAAAGACACAGAGAGAGAGAGGGAGATGCCTTGCATGTCGTTGCATGGCTGACCTACCTTCGGCTGCTGGGTCCCTTGGCTCCTGATATTTCCGCCTCAAGCAAACCTAGCTGTGAACAAGGCCTCTTCCCCCCCCTCCCCCCCCCAAAAAAAAGGGGAGACTTACAACCAGCGCCACATTCCCGTTGCAAATGCCTTGCATGAAAAAAGTGTGGGGAAACAACGAACTGCAAAAACACAAATTTCTTCCAAAAGAAAAAATAAAGCACGCTTGGCTTGGAAACCTTGCTCGTTTTCTCAGAACAAGCCACTCGTTTCGTTCCGAAACGAGCAAATACGCCCAGCCTCCGTGTCCGGTGCAACGCAAGCTGAAGCCGGGCGCAAGCGCGCCTCGCCGAGCTCAATGTGTTGGGAAGCAGGCACTTCTATCGGAGACTTGACGTATGTCCTTGCGCCCTGTTTGAGCTTCAAATCCGATTTCCGAATCTGCACCTAGGGATCTCCTCTGCAAAAATACAACTGCTTCACTACGTCCAATCATGGAAGTGCACAGTCGTCAGCCCGAATGCTTCCATTGAAACGAAGAACCCAGAAGGGCCTCCTCTCAAGACCAGCCACTTGTTTCCCAAACAGTTCCAAAACAAGAGGCCCGATCCCTAGAACACACATGGTTGCAGATCTCGGAACGGGTCTTCCTCTTTGCATGAACTTGACAGGGAATGTGCCAAAACCGGGGCCCCAGGCGTCCCGTGATTTCCCTTTAAACCAGCCTCAAAAGGAGAAGCTTAGAAAGACACCGCCTATGATTCTCTCAATTTCCAACCTCGCCCCACTGAAAGGAAACTCACTTCAAATTGGCTTTTCCAAAATGGGGTGGGTGAAACTGGGAAGGTGGTGGGTATGTGTTCAAAGCTGTCAGCTTGTGTAAAATCTGTCATATGTGTGTCAAACATCCCGGTCTCTGCTAAACCTTTTTTCTGATCGGAGCTCCCTCCAAGGATCTTGATTTCTTGTTGACGTCCTTTTGTTCTGTGCTGTGGGAGTGAATCCATGGGATGACCACAAGCCACTTCACGATGCGGAAGTATTCCGAGGGCCGCCCTGTCTTCCATTTATGAGATGAACCCCAAATGAGCTCAAGCCCTTGTGGGATGTGTTCCAGTGCCGGAGGGTGGTCCGCCATTCGGTCAATTCCCTCATTCACTGGAACACCTTGCTACAAAACCTCGGGCGATTGGACTTACCTACATACATATGGGGAGTGGACCCTGGTGCAGCCTTGTGCTACCTTTGGAACGGGACACCAACCCCCTTTTTTGGCAACCCCTGATTCTTGTGCGGAATTTAGGGATCTCCCCCCGTGTCTCTCCCAAATGGACCATAGACTACTTCCGGAAATGTCGAGAAAACCCGCCAAACATCAGCCCCGCACCAAAGACAAACGTGAATCAACAACGGTGACGAGCCATGGTTGGCTGCAGCCCGACAAACAACCATCAATGAAGTGGCAAATGTCAACACTTGTATCTGGGATTACAACGGTTGATGATGGTTCCCCAAAGCCCAGGGAGTCCCTCCTGACAAAGAAGGAAATCACCTTGCGGAACTGCCCCATAGTCTAAGCGGGCCGGGGTGAACAGAGAAATCTAGCCTACAACAGCGGATGTGTGCGTGTGTGTTTCCCTGCAAAGAAACTGGTAGCTTTTGATTCAAAAAGCGCCGCATGCAAGGTGCTTGCAGCGGGGGGCAAGTCTACAAGGGTTTGAGGTTCCCCTTTGCAACCGAAGGGACACCAAAACCATTGGGTCTCAAAAATAGAGAACCTTTCTTCAGGGTACCCTTTTGGGTTCGTGTTTTCTTTTTGGGGAAACCCAAGGGGAAAAAAAAAGAAACGTCTTTTCTTCTTCTTCTTCTTCATTTTTTTTTTTGGGGGGGGGGAGTGGCGTGTTTTCCGTGAAACCAAGGGGAAAAAACCACCGCGTTTCTTTTTTGGGGGAGGGTCCCCTATTTTTCAAGACACCGCCAAATGAGAAAATATCAGGGTTTCGCATGGGGGTCCCGCCTGGGCCTCTCAAAGGCGCGAGCATCTTGATCGATCTCTAGCTCGCCCGAAGCGGTTGGCTCAGCGTGGGGTTTTTGCTCCGCAAAAGGGGCCCATGTGGATGTGTGGCAAAGCCGGGGAACCTGAAAATGGCTGGTTTTCTGTTGGCTTCCATTTAAAAATTGCCCAAACAAAGGTGGGGCGGCCTTGGAAACATTGATTGACATCCGTCGGGGGGATTTGTGGGTGTGGGTTTTTCCTGTTGACTCTCGTGTTTGTATATGTGTTGCTAAATCCTTTTGGAAAGGTGTCAGCTTGGCGAGCCCTCCGACTGGATTCTCGACTGGTTGCTTCTTCTTTCTTGCGGCTCTCTGAGGCAAGTCAGCAATGGAGGGGCGTAAGCCTCTGTCTTGCCATGCCAAAAGCTCCTTCTGGTCTGCCTTGCTGGAAATCCATTGGGTTCATTCCCAAGACACCTGTTGACTTCCTGCTGAGAACCAGCAGGTTGCGACCGTGATCAGTTGCATTCCCATCACTTTCGCTTCAGCTGGAAAGGGCAAACGGCGAGCGCATGGGTTTGCAATGTCCAGGCTCATTCCACATACAATCAAGCATGAATACCAAATGGCGAAGCATCCACAGCTGTGTGTGTGTGTGCGGGTACCCTTTTGAGGTTGATTTCCAAGGGCCACAAGGGAAACACACGATTTGGAACCTCCCCTATTGACACGTACCCCATGCCAGTCGAGATCACACCACTTGCTCCATACCATCCCCGAATCCCCGACGTCAGCGGGAAACCTCTTTCCTTGGAAATTCCCGCGGCGTGCATCTCGAGATGCGAATTCAAACGGCACCTGAGTGGTCCTTTTGCCACCTCTGGGAAAAGTTTGGCATTCCTCTAAAAGGAATCAGGATCACGTTTGTCAAACAAGGACACGCCCCTGTGAAAGATCCTGTTGGGCCGGCATTTTCAAGGAAACGCGCGAAAACGGGAATGGCCTGCCAAACTCCTCCGAGTCACCGGAGATTGCGGGGAAAGAGCGCGGAAAGGGCAGAAAAAGAAAGGGCATACAAGAACCCCTCCCGAAAGCTATCACTTCACTTCTGGAACCCCAACCAGTCGGTCCGGTTGTGCCCATGAAACTCCGCGCTCGGCTCTGAAGTGGGCCCTAGGTTTGCATCTCTTCGATGCATGCGGGCCCTCGAAAATTGCCATCAGGCTGGGGCAACCCGTGAGTCAAAGTCGAAGAGGTACACCCGGCTGTTTGGGCAACGAAAAGGATGGTGGTGAGAAAACGTCTCAAGCAACATCCTCGGGCATCCGATTTGAGTTGACACCAACTTCACTAAGATCAGAACAGCTTCAGGTTGGACCTGGCAGAATCGGACAGCGCTCAGGGACTCAAATCCCAAGCCGGGCACGACCAAATAGAGTGCCACTTAAACTCGAAATGCTCGGAACTCTAAGAATGCTCGGAACCGACAAATGGACAAACTCCGCATCAAACGCTCCGACCGCCACAATGGTTGTCCGCTTGATGTCCCATACGAACTGACCTGAAAAAAGGGTACCCTGCAAAAGCGCACCACATGAACCCTAGGGATTCTCGTCATTCTTGCAATGGCAACCTTTTTTGACGGGCAGGCTGACTTGCAGTGTCCATGTTTTCTGGGCCTCCATGTTCCAGCCCACGCCGATGCAAACTCGAGTCGTCCCCCAATCTCGGAATTCTTAAGGCAGCTTCGGACCTTCCAACCATTTCTCGCTCGATGCTTCTGACTGGCTCACAAGGGTGGTCTGTTGGATCGTCCTTCTACCCATCCGTTTTGACGCACCAGGCCCAGGCCGGGGACCCGGACGGGGCGGAGGCCTTCGCCTGGGATTCGAAAATCCGCGCGGGCATGGGTCCTGAAGATCCAAGTTTGCCCAAAAAAAATGCCAGAGAACAAAGGAAAGTTTGGGCAATATTGGCATGTTGCATGACAATTCCGACGGCGGTGTGTGACCCTTTTCGCTTCTTTTAGCAAGAAAAAAGCAAGCCAAATGACTTATGGGTATCCCAAAGCCGTCTGGTTTCCCTTTGACCGGGTCCAGTTCGGAAGGTCCCATGAACGGCGGCAAGCCGCTTACCGCTATGTGGAAGGCGGCCAGAAAGCTGTTTCAAGGTTGCTTGGTTTGATGTTCGTGTTTTTGGCCTCTTCTGTCACAACTGTCTCCGATTCTATTCTCTTGGCAAGGGATTGAAAGGGTGGAATCGTATGAAAGCCCGACAGTACCACTGTCGGAATCGATCGCGGGCCATCAAAAACACGACCCCCTCCCCCCACCCAAAAAGAACAAACCAACTTGAAACCCAAGAGGGAGCCACAAACAAACAAAGAAACACAAAAAAACACCACACCATGTCATCATGTCCTAGCTTCGAAAGTTTGGAGTTCGAGGCGGCTCTCCACCAAAAAACAACAACAAGCATACCTGGAGTCTCCATGATCCTTAAAAGCATGGTTGGTCATTACCCAAAATCATGGGGTCACGGACCCATTTTTTAGGGGGCCCTTAGGGAGACTCCAGGCATCTGCGCGCTCGTCGCCTTCTCAAGCAGCTCCGCCGCCTTCTGCCGCGCCGCCTCGCCCCAAACCGGATTTGGAAATGGCTCACGTGAGCAAATTGCAGCAGTGAGCCCGCTTAAGTGTAGACCTGGTCCAACTGAGTTTCCTTTTCAGGGGTTTTCATGAAATCACCACACCCAGCCTGAAAGTGGCATCTGGGTATGTCCTTTTTAGAGGGAACCTCTTTTTGTCGGGATTGAAGGGAAGCCATTTTGGGGTGTCCCCCAGAAAGAAAACAAAAAAAACGGTTCACAACCAGACACTTCGATCTCGGCAGCCATGCGATCTAGTGATCTCTTGAACTCCCAAATGATATCCTGACCGCCAGATACATGTTGCTTAGACCACAGTTGTTCAAGCAACCTCCTTCGCTCTTCCCTTAGGGGTCAGACTCAAGTTGGCGGCGCTTCGTGTAGAAACTGGGCATCCTATTCCATTACGCGGTGGCGAAAAAGAGGTCCATCGACTCTTGACAAAACCCCGCAGGTGTCCAAAGAAATCTGTCTTTTTTGAGCCGTTTCTTGGTGGTCTAAAGGGAAACCAACAGGAAACCAAGCATTTTTGGCGCCCAACCTTTAAAACAAAAGCCCATCTCCAGTCGCCTCTTTGGCGCGCTCAGCGGCGGTCCCCGCGGCCCCGGAGATCCTCGGAGAGGATCCACCCTTGAGGTGTTCCTCTGGACCGCACAAAAACAGACCCAGTTCACCAAACCCATTTGACTCGACTCCAATTGAATTGGTTGCTTCACTGAAACCGTTCGTAGAAACTGTGGGCCAGTTTGGAAAATTCCCAAATAACAGGGGAATCCATGAGCGGCAAATTGCGGCCGGCAAACAGGATCCTAAAGGTTCCGAGCGGGTACGACCTTTGGATATTCACAAACACCAGGGGACAGCTCACAGTTTGCTCCCCCCTCTAAATATCGCTGTGGGTACTTGCGATACATGGGGAATCCCTGTAAATGTTGGTTGTGGTGTGTCCTGCCAGAGACTCCTGAGTTCCGCAGTTGGGACCGTGATCCCTGTTCTCTCTTACAACAATCCGTTAAAGTTCGGACAGGGATCGATGTTGAGATGCGAGAGGATGCGTTTCCCCAAACGTGGCGCATCTCAGGGATCCGAGCTGCGGCCAGGGTGTTGCCAGGACCCCCGCAGTTTTGGGGCGGCCTTCACATCACGCACAAGCTCCTCGGTGTCCTGGCATGAAATCGAGAGCATCCGCATCTTCGTGAATGGGGGGATGGCTCTGACAATGGTCCGGATTGATCCAAAGTGGTTGAGGGAAAACCCGGCAAGCTAGCGATGCTGGAGATTGGGGCTGCTGATGCTGCTAAGATGATGCGAGTGATTCTTGCAACGCTGAGAATGTTGAGGGATGCTGAGGATGTTGAGGGATGCTGAGGATGCTGAGGATGCTAAGGATGCTGAGGATGCTGAGGATGCTGAGGATGCTGAGTATGCTGAGGATGCTGAGGATGCTGAGGATGCTGAGAATGCTGAGAATGCTGAGGATGCGGATGATGCTCAGGATGCGGATGATGCTGAGGATGCTGAGGATGCTGGTTATGCTGGTTATGCTGGTTATGTTGATTATGCTGGTTATGCTGGTTATGCTGGTTGGCCAGAAGCTGGGCATTCTCGAGTACCTGGCGAGCCCCTGCTGGTTGAACCTGCTCAAATCTGTGTCAGCGCATTTCTGCCAACGAGCCCCACCCCTGGTGCAACCAAGCTCCTGGACCAACCGCAAGCCCAGAACATGACTTTGCGCGATATAAGACCTGTGCCAGTCTGAGCAGGTGCCCGAGCATGTTGCTATCGTAGAAAAGTTCTGCGAATAAAGTGGAAGTCACCAAAAAAAGCGGAGAGGGGGGCGGGGGGATAGCGAAGTTCCGGCTTTCTCTGCCTTCTGCGCCTCCTCAATGCGGCTCTTCACTCCTGGCAAAGGACATCCCGCCGCATTTGAATCCTTTCCTCCGACCACTTAAAGCAGGAAGCAACTGACTCCAGCTCAAGCCAAGCCTGTCTTCACCCATTGGGCCGTCGCTGCCGGGCCTAGGAAACCACGGGCGGTGACAGGGCGGGCGAATTTTGGGAGGGTGGGCGGTGGGACAGAACGCACAAATTGTCATAGTGCAGCCGAGAAATTGGAAAGAAGAAAAACAAATCAAACTCATGGGGAGCCCGGTTCGCCTCAACGGGCACTTGAGGAAAACGTTGCCACTGGATCATGACCCAAACAGTATCAAAGGAGAAGGCCCAAAAATTATGGTAAGGAATCACAGTTGCGCGGCCACGGCAATTCTTTTCAATTGAAAAATCCTGACCTTCGTGATTCTGGTTTGTTTGCGCGGAGGGGTCCAAGGAATTGTCACCAAAGCGAATTCGTGGTTTAATATGGCGGTTCTCCAATATTACTTTCACTGAAAACCCTCCAATTGCCGGCCTTTCGCGCTCCAATCACGACCACAGCAGGGCCAATCGCGGAGCAAACTTGGTAACTTCTTCCCATCTTACAAGCAAACATGCCAATCGCGGCTCATCCGCCGGCCTTTCGCAATGCAGGTTTTTACCAATCGCGCGCAACTAACAAGTTACCCGAATACCTAAATTGAAGACGGCCCCCACACAACTGGTGACGCCAAAAAACGCTTGGCTACAGTTGCTTTCTTTCAAAAACCAACGAAGCTCTGCAGGCAATTCAGCCAATGGGCGCCCAAAACGCCTTCTGTGCAGCTGATGTGTCCTCCAGGATCTCTAAATGCTAGAGGAATATGTAAAGGAAAACGCAAAAAGAAAGAAAATGTCTCCAATTCTGCAAAACGCCCTAGTGGATCCATGACGACGCGTCGAATTGAGACCTGGGTCGCCGCGCTCTCCTCGATTTGCTTCTTGGCCTTGGGGCAATCAGGTCGGCGGGAGAAGAAAACTAGGACCCTCATGTTTGGACATGTTTGGACTTTTTTCTGAACACGGGGATCCAAGACCAGGACCCCTCTGATAGGTCCCTATTGGCGGGCATTGGCAATATGATCATATATTCCATTTTTGGATTCTCTGATTATTTGTGGGAAGCATCTGCTGATTCACCAACCGACTTAGCGCAGCTGGAGCTCATGTTCCCTTATCCTGTGCGACGAGCAGGAGCAACGCCGCGCAAAGGCAAACAAGAAGGCAAACAAGAAGGCAAGCAAGCAAGCCAGCAAGTCAAAACCAAAAACCAAAACTAAACGAACGAAACAAAACCAGCACAAACCAAGCAAAACGAGACCAAACAAGCAAACAAACCCAACCCAAACCAGATCGAGCTTGAAAAGGGAATCTTGTAGCTCCCCTCCTACACCCATCCGAAAATCCACCGCTGAAAGGCTGTCCTAAAATAGGGGGACCCCTCATGTGGCTTCCACTTAAGCCAACCCAAAAATCCGGCACCCATGTCACAATCCTGCAATCCTGGAGCAGGGATGGTAAATTTGGTCGCCAGGCACCATCCGACAATACCTGCCCTTCCTGCCAGCTTCCAACGCTTGTGAGCTTGGCCCGGTCACTTTTCTGGGGAGGCTCCAAAGCAACCGTCGCTTCAGTCGTAAGCGCCAGGTCGATGTTTCGCCTCCGCGCCCTGACCCATGGCTGGTTTACGCCTTGGGCTGGTTTTGGGTGCGTTGTTTGCAGGTTTAGGCTGGATAGGTTTCTGTACGGTTTTTACTTGGGGCGGGGTTAGGGTGGAGTTTAGGGAAAAGGGTTGGTGTAGGGTTGGTGTCGGGTAGGTTTACGGAGGTTGGTAAAGGGCTTGCTTAGGGTTTCAGGGTTGGTTGAGTGTGGTTTTTGGCTGGCTAAGGGTGGGTTTATGGTTGGTTTAGAGTTGGTTTTGGGATGTGTATGGCTAAAGGGTTGGAATTGGGGCTGGCGTAGCGTTTGGCTTGGGGCTTGCTTCGGGTTGATTTAGTGTGGTTTGGGGCTTGCGTAGCGTCGCTAGGGTTGGGTGGGTTTGGCGCGGGTTTGGGATGAGTATTTTGGGCTTCATCCGGATATTCAAACATGACCTGGCGGCGCCTGCTTCCGTGGGGGGGGGTCCCTTTTCCAGGCTACAGAGCGACTTGGATGCGGAAACTTCTCCAACTTTGCACCCCAAACAAGCACTCCTATCCAGCTTCTGGGCGCAGCTATTATTGGCTGCGACTAGAGGCTCTGACCGCGTTACTTTCAGCTGAGAGCCATGTTTTGCGGGCAAGCTTTTGGGCTTTTGTTGCCTTGTGTATTGGTGGGTTTGGCGGTTTTCGACCTAAACCCACCCTAAACCAATGCTAAACCAGCACTAAATCCACCCTACGACCCAACTAAACCAAACTTGAAAGCATAACGTGGAACCCCACCCTGATCCCACCCGAAAGAAACCCGAAGCCAGCTCTAAACCAACGTCTCCTTTTCGACGCCTATGGTTCAGCCTCGCGTGGACACGCACAAATGCGATTGCTGGGACCTCCGACTCCCACAGTTCATTCCTCACATATTTCAAGAAACCACTCGCAGATCTGTCCACAAAATGTAGATCCGGGTGGGCGAGTAGGTGAGGGAGACTTCGCGTTCGACTCAAAAAACCCAGGCAGAACCAGCTCACCCGACCGACCAGGCGACCGATCGACCGACCAGGCCACACCTAGGGGAAAAAAGAGCTCGTCCGGACCTGTCTTAAATGATCCGAAAAAGAACGGCCACGAATAAAACCCACTGATGCTAGGCAGTTTTGCGTTTTGCCCTTGCTCGCGGCGAGAGTTAAGAATCCTCCGGGACCCCAGCGGCAGAGAGCTTTTGCTCGATGCTGTCCTGGGCCTCAGCCGCAATTTCGGCTCTCCGAAGCGAACCGGGCCACTTTCTCAAGTCAGAAAACAACCCTCCCGGTGGCTTGAAGGGAAACCCTGGGAACCCTCCAAAACGGGCCAGCCAAGCCAGAAACCAAAAGTGAAAACCAGGCTGGAGTTGCACTTCTGACTGGAGAAAGAGCCTTAACTGCCTCCATTCGACGTGTATCAGCTCGCAGAATTGCCATTTTCCAGAGCCCGCCAAGCCCTGAAAAACCGATGGAATCTAAAGGAAGCTCCAATCCACACAGCAAAAGCATGGGCCAGTTCTTGCCGGCTGATGAAACGGTGCCAGAATATGTGGAACACACACAACCAAACCGGTTTGTTGTTTGTTTGGCTGTGCACTCAAAAGTAACAAGTTCCGTGTTCTTCACAGTCTTTTGCTGTGGCGCGCAAGGCTCTGGACTGCACATGCTAGGCTCTCTGTGTGTCTTCCAACCGATAAGAAGCCCCGCGGCTGTTACCCTTTGGACATGGATTTTCACAGTCCCCCATTAAACTCCCGGCCGGCCACTTTGAGACACGCAAGACTGCGCTTTTATCCCGCCATGCATGCAGGCAATCCATACTGGCAGGACAAGTGAGCAAGGCTGGGCCGAGCATCTGTAACTCCTCCCAACCCCATCGAAAAAGGAATGGGCTCGTCTCCAAATAAAGGGATTCCCTCACAAAGACCGCGAAAAGAGCCAGAACTCCGGTGAGACCTATGGAATCTTTCGTGGTTCACCCGGGCGCTCGGCCGAAACCACCTTTGGTCTTGGGGTCTGGCTTCTGGGCCTTTGCCTGAAAAACGGGCCTCTCCAGAAGCAACCCCGTGAATCTAGTCGGGTGTCCCTCTTAAGTGGATCTTGAAGCATAGAGTGACTGGTAACTCGGGTGGTTTGGCACTGAACAGCTTCCGGGTTGAACCAAATGGCCGGGAAAGGGGCGGGCAGATGCGCAACATCTGGGTTCGACTTTGTGCCCTCGAAACTCCATGGTCACGTCTCCTTTACGAAGAACCCCTATAAGTTCCGTCTAAGCGATTCGTGAGAATCCCTTAGCGATCCCGATATCAAGGATATTTGACCATGCAAAGATGTTAAATGTGAAACTAGGTGTGCACAAAAGTACTTTCGGCGACATACTCGCGATGCGCCCATGCGCCATGCGCTGCTTTAAAAAGGCATAGAGAGGGTGCCACCATTTTGGCCGACTCCAACGCTGGCTGAATCCGAACGGTGCTTGGCTTCGACATCCACAAGTACCATTACCAAAATGGGTGGGACCCCCTTGCGCATCCAACTGGAAACACATCGAGTGACTCACAACTCCGACCTCCGGTGCTGCACTTCCAACTCGAAGCCGAGCTTGTTGATAGCCACTCGCTTCAGGAAGTGGTCGAGCTTTGCTACGTGCCTATGGTGGGTGGCAGCAATGGGGGGGCTAACTCCGGTGCCTGTGGACGGCACGCTGCAGTCCATCGAGTTGAAACTGACCGAACGCTCCACATCAGCGGACTTGGTGCAGTCCTCCTTCACATTTGCCTCCGTCTCGCGAGAAGTGCCACAGCCCATATGTGTCAATTGGATTGGAAAGAAGCCGGAAATCGCTCTCACCTTTCACAGCCAGAATGGCTGAGAGACTCTCATTCTCACCAGGTCAACGGTCAGAATTTGTTCAACGAACCTGAAATCGAGGGGGCTCCGCCTGTCACTGGTCGCTGAAAACGGCCCGACATCCCCAAAACTGACCCATTCAACAAGTTGCTTCCCTATCCGATTCTCTCGCGCAAGTTTTATTCTGAGCGGATCCGACCGACGAGATATCAGATCGGCCGGAAAGCACTGCCAAGGGTACTCCCAAGAAAGAGAGACAAGGGAAAGGAGAGAAAGGGAGGGGAAAGGAGGAAAGGAGGAAAAAGATGGAAAAGATGGAAAAGATGGAAAAGAGGGAAAAGACGGAAAAGAGGGAAAAGATGGAAAAGCGGGAAAAGTGGGAAGGGAAAAGATGGAAAAAATGAAAAAGAGGGATGAGAGGAAAAAGAGGGAAAAGAGGCAAAAGAGGGAAAAGAAGGAAAAGAGGGAAAAGAGGGAAAAGATGGAAAAGAGGGAAAGGAGGAAAAAGAGGGAAAAGTGTAAAGGGAAAAGATGGAAAAGAGGGAAAGGAGGAAAAAGAGGAAAAAGAGGGAAAGGAGGAAAAAGAGGGAAAAGAGGGAAAAGAAGGAAAAGAGGGAAAAGAGGAAAAAGAGCAAAGCAGGAAAACAGGGAAAAGATGGAAAAGACGGAAAAGAGAGAAAAGCGGGAAAAGAGGGAAAGGATGCAAAAGAGGGAAAAGAGGGAAAAGCGGGAAAAGAGGGATAAGATGGAAAACAAAAAAAGAGAGGGAAAAGATGGAAAAGATGGAAAAGATGGAAAAGCGGGAAAAGAGGGTAAAAAGGGAAAAGATGGAAAAGACGGAAAAGAGGGACTAGAGGGAAAAGATGGTAAAGACGGAAAAGAGGGAAAAGAGGGAAAGGAGGAAAACAGGGAAAAGAGGGAAAAGAGGGAAAGGAGGAAAAAGAGGGAATAGAGGGAAAAGATGGTAAAGACGGAAAAGAGGGAAAACAGGGAAAGGAGGAAAACAATGAAAAGAGGGAAAAGATGGAAAAGCGGGAAAGGAGGAAAAAGAGGGAAAAGTGGGAAGGGAAAAGATGGAAAAGATGGAAAAGAGGGATGAGAGGAAAAAGAGGAAAAAGAGGAAAAAGAGCGAAAAGCGGGAAAAGCGGGAAAAAAAGCAAAAGAGGAAAAGAGGGAAAAGAAGGAAAAGAGGAAAAAGAGGAAAAAGAGGGAAAAGAGGGAAAAGAGGGAAAGAAGGAAAAGAGGGCTAAGAGGAAAAAGGATGAAAAGAGGGAAAAACGGGAAAAAATGGAAAAGAGGGAAAAGCGGGAAAAGCGGGAAAAGAGGGAAAAGATGGAAAAGATGGAAAAGAGGGAAAAGAGGGAAAAGAGGGAAAAGAGGGACAGGAGGCAAGGGAGGGAAAAGAGGGAAAACAGGAAACAAAACAAAAAAATACAAAGAGGAAAAAGCGGGATAAGAGGGAAAGGTGGAAAAGAAGGAAAACATGGAAAAGAGGGAGAATAGGGAAAAGAGGGAAAAGAGGGAAAAGAGGGAAAGGAATGAAAAGAGGGAAAAGATGGAAAAGAGGGAAAAGATGGAAAAGAAGGAAAAGGGGGAAAAGAGAGAAAGATGGAAAAAAGGGAAAAGAGGAAAAAAAGCAAAGCGGGAAAACAGGGAAAAGATGGAAAACAGGGAAAAGAGAGAAAAGCGGGAAAAGATGGAAAAGAGGGAAAAGCGGGCAAAGCAGAAGAGGGAAAAGAGGGAGAAGAGGGAAAAGAGGGAAAAGAGGGAAAGGAATGAAAAGAGGGAAAAGATGGAAAAGAAAGAAAAGATGGAAAAGAAGGAAAAGAGGGAAAAGATGGAAAAGACGCAAAAGATGTAAAAAGACGGAAAAGAGGGAAAAGAGGAAAAAGATGGAAAAGAAGGAAAAGAGGGAAACGATGGAAAAGATGGAAAAGATGGAAAAGATGGAAAAGAGGGAAAAGAGGGAAAAGAGGGAAAAGAGGGAAAAGACGGAAAAGATGTAAAAAGACGGAAAAGAGGGAAAAGAGGGAAAACACGGAAAAGCGGGAAAGAGGGAAAAGAGGGAAAAGCGAGAAAAGAGGGAAAAGAGGGAAAAGAGGGAAAAGCGGGAAAAGCGCGAAAGAGGGAAAAGATGGAAAAGAGGGATAAGATGGAAAAGAAGGAAAAGAGGGAAAAGATGGAAAAGATGGAAAAGAGGGAAAAGCACGAAAAGAGGGTAAAAAGGGAAAAGATGGAAAAGAGGGAAAAGAGGGAATAGAGGGAAAAGATGGTAAAGACGGAAAAGAGGGAAAAGAGGGAAAAGAGGAATAAGAGGGAAAAGAGGGAAAAGAAGGAAAAGAGGGAAAAGATGAAAAAGAGGGAAAAGATGGAAAAGAGAAAAAAGAGGGAAGAGATGGCAAGGAGGGAGAAGAGGGAAAAGAGGGAAAGAAGGAAAACAGGGAAAAGAGGGAAAGGAGGAAAAAGATGGAAAAGAGGGAAAAGAGGAAAACATGGAAAAGAGGGAAAAGATGGAAAAGAAGCAAAAAAAAATGAAAAACGGGAAAAGAGGGAAAAGAGGGAACAGAGGGAAAAGAGGGAAAAGATGGAAAAGACGCAAAAGATGTAAAAAGACGGAAAAGAGGGAAAAGAGGAAAAAGATGGAAAAGAAGGAAAAGAGGGAAACGATGGAAAAGATGGAAAAGATGGAAAAGAGGGAAAAGAGGGAAAAGAGGGAAAAGAGGGAAAAGAGGGAAAAGAGGGAAAAGAGGGAAAAGAGGGAAAAGAGGGAGAAGAGGAAAAAGAAGGAAAAGCGGGAAAAGAGGGAAAAGAAAAACAAGATGGAAAACAAGGAAAAGAAAGAAAGATGGACAAGAGATGAAAAGAGGGAAAAGAGGGAAAAGAGGGAAAAGCGGGAAAAGCGGGAATATAGGGAAAAGAGGGAAGAGGGAACAGAAGGAAAAGAGGGAAAAGATGGAAAAGAGGGAACAGAGGGAAAAGATGGAAAAGCGGGAAAAGAGGGAAAAGAGGGAGAAGAGGGATAAGAGGGAACAGAGGGAAAAGAGGGAAAAGATGGAAAAGACGGAAAAGATGTAAAAAGACAGAAAAGAGGGGAAAGAGGGCAAAGACGGAAAAGCGGGAAAGAGGGAAAAGAGGGAAAAGAGAGAAAAGAGGGAAAAGAGGGAAAAGAGGGAAGATGGGGAGGAATGGGAAAGGGGGAGTGGAAGAGACCCGGAGAAGGAGGGGAACATGTGATCGGCCCACGGTCGAGGGATTCCAAAAAACTAGGGGGGCCATCCACCCGAAAACTCACCAATGCTCCTAGACAAGGCGATAACCTGCAAAAATGAGTTGAATGTGTTCACCTTCCACAAAATCATTCGTACAACTTGAACTCTGCAAAATTCAATACAGATTTGTTTCTGTGGATGGATTCATGTCCCTTGGTTTCCTTTGGGCTTCCTCACCAACCAAGATTTGGGGCCCACCATGTCTTTGAACCCACCGGTGTTCCTTGACTGCGGGCTTCCCGACCACGGTGAGCTGCTGCTGAAGCCCGCTCTGGGCCTCGCGGTGTCCAACCGAGACGGGCGGCCAGTCTTCCGTGTTGAGTGGATTCCTGCTCGTGTACCCACCATGGGTTTCTGCAAGGCCAGCTCACCAAGAGGAAAGTACGGTCTGCGCACAAACCCATGTGAGCTTCTGGGAGGGCACCTGCTCATTTCAAAAAAAATGAAATCCGCAAGCTGAGAAATGGTCACGAAGCGCGGCCCATCCTTGATCTGTCAACAGATCTCCCGCGCCTCCGACAAACGGCCGCCCACAGCCTGGCCGGAAGCTTCCTTAGCTTCCTTTCTAGCCTTGGCTTCCCTAGCTTGACCCACATGAGATTCTCTTCCATATCTAGTCAGCCCTAAAAAACAAAAACTGTGCCTTTGGAGGAGACCCAGGTAACTGGCGGCTTGGATTGGTAGCTTGGAGGTTGGGTGGCTTCCCATCTACACAACTTCTTGCAAAACCAAATCCAAAACACAATCCACATTTCAAACCACCAAAAAAGGTTGCCTTGTTGTTGTTGGTAAAAGACCGAGCCGAGGAGTACGGTTGCCCCAAAGTTTGCAAGACCAACCACAAACCATGGCTGAATTTGCAGAGTTTCCACCGTAGCATTGGTCCCGCAAGGCGCTGTAGCGCTTCGACCTTGCATGTGGAGAATCCAGCTGTTTCTGCGCAACAAAAACTGGTTGAAATGACCTCCTAGCTTGCGATTGGGTCATATTCGCAAGGTGTAATCTCGGGATGAAATACAACACCATTGGATCAAAGCCTAAGACAAACCCTTTTCTCCAAGCCCCCGATTGATTGAGGGGCTAGGTCCTTGGGTCAAGCCGGGCTTCACCGTGAGCACAATCATGTTGCAGTTCTAGTGGCTTCCAAAAAAACGAAGGTCGCTCATCAAGAAGGCACTCATCTCAGGAAAGCGCTGACCCAAAATTCCCACTGCCCAAGATCTGGGTTTCAGGTCTATCCCAACTCGAGCCAAACCCGAAGCCTCGATGCCCCGATGGATCGATGGGCCTTGCCCACGCTCTCCTTCACCTTGGCCGGGATCTTGCCCACACCCTCCGACACCTGAGGCGTGAGACGGCAGGCAGGGGTTCTTGGCCTGCCTGTTCTTGGGCTTTACTTTCAAGCGGCCTTACAAAGGAAAGAAAGACCTGGGTTCGCAGGTCTGAGTCGGGTTCGCAGGTCGAGTTTGTCAAGAAAGGGATCACGTGCAGCACCCAAACCATATAGGGTTTCGAAAACATTGGTCAGAATACCGCTCTGCGAATTTATACTGTTCCTCCAAGGTCTCTGTTGCCAACTCCTGTCACTTGCAACCCCCAGTCCCTTCCCCCTATTCTGGGCACCGGCCTTCATTCGCACCACAACAGCGGTCGCATCTGCATGAGAAGCTATGCCAACCAATGTTAATGGTCCGTGCGCTTCAATTCATAGCCATGTGGTCTGGCGTTTTTTCCCGCCCCACCTCCCGTTGCGCGGCAGCAGGGGTGTCTACGATGGCCTGAACCGCAAGCGGCCGGAATTCCACCACTTTGCCATTGCATTGAAGCAGATCGTGGCCCCTAGGAGACTAGGCATCCGCAAGGAGGCATCAACAGCAGGTGGTCTAAACCCCGGCATTGAACCCAGCTGCCCCGAACAGTGGCAGCCAAAAGATTTTACCCAGGGGCTCCAGCTGACTATTGGCGGCAAGCAACGTCTACCACACTGAGGGGCTGTTGGTTCAGACCTTGAAATGTGCGTCAACCAGCTCCCAAACATATTACGTGGCTTTTGGAACTTTTCTTTGAAAAGACCACATGCTGCGTGTGTATACCTTACGAAGATGAAAGCAAGGCCCAATCAGTGGTGCAAGCGCATCAGAACCAGAGCCTAGGTTGATCTTGGCTTCAGGATTTCACGGCTAATACCAAATGTCAACTCCAACCGAATGGTTGCTTTGCACCCATGCACCCGTGCTCCATTGCTTGTCACAAAAGCTTCATATTGCTGGCGTATAGCGCACTGCTTCAGCATTGCGAGTACATTGACAACGAACTCTTTGTAAGCTTTGTGAATGTGGCGGAATCCACAACATTGTGAGAACCTCACAAGTCACATAAGCCATTTTATCATAAAACGCTCTTTGCTGGGTCCTTCGCGCTTCCGTGAGAAAGCACTTACTCCGATCTGATCCGCATACATATGGCGCACATATTGCCAAGGTGCTACCACATTAGCGCCATGCTCAAACTTGCAGTGAAATCCAAGCCAGACTGATTGCTATAGCACACACACACAAATGACACTGACTTACACAAACCTTTTCCAGGCAACATCCATAAAAGGTGCTCTAGAGGTTTTCAAAATATGTATAGGATGTGTCTCACGCACAAATTTAATAAAAACATCAGGCTGCAACAGCTCGGCATGGCATGCAACCTGCAAAGAAAGGTACTGTCGATGTATATACTAAGGCATTGCATCAAGTAATCAAGCACTTCTGTCTACATAGCAGCATTCAAACACGTGGGATAGACTCTTGCTGTAACTCTCCAACATGTCATTTAGCCAGTATGACGTAGAGTTGCTAAGAGCGCATCTGAATTCATGAACTTAACGCAATCAGCGTCTTTGCTGAGTCGTCCAAGAATTGCAACTTGTTCAGGTTCGGAAAAGCATTGTTTCCCTTTCTAAAGGACCGGTGATGGTCCACTTTGTCTACAAACTAGCACGACATGTGCTTTCAGTAAGTGGAAAAGTATGTCTAAAAAAAGAAACAACAAGGAAAAACAAAAAAGAACTAATAATGCTGGGGGTGTTGACCACACTATCAACATCTACCTGTATCACAGCAAGCTCGCTTGCGCAGCATTGACTTTTTGGAGGTAGCTGAGGGTTGCGTTCAACTGATGGGTACAGTAGACTCTTGGACTTGGTGGGTTCGCTTTGCCCTGGCCGCAGGTTGGTTTTGGTTCATTCTGGTCCTAAGAAAGCCACCCCCCAACATTGGGCCAACATGCGCAACATCTGGCTCCATTCGCCGTTTTGCGCCTCTCTTTTAATGGTCGCAGGAAGCGCCATTGAACTATCAGTTTGTCTACACGTTCCAAATATATCGCATACTGATACAAGCAAATTAAAACCAAACCTGTATGTATTAGTTTGTTTGCTTTATGCGTAGTAGGTACAGTACAAGTGTTTCAAGTAAAAAACCATGATTGAAAATGTAATGTCAACATGTTCATCTAAAGCATTGCCTAGCGAAGACCCGATACCTGCAAGACCCATTTCCTTCAGCAGCCCCGGGGCTGCTAAAGTTCGCCTGAAAGATCTCGTCCACGCGGCGCTGGACCATCCCTGGGGGTGAAAATTTGGAGCCAGTGTCGATTTTCTGGTCGGAATTGCTTTCCTCTGAAAAGCTCTAGAAGGGTTACTCAGATTAATATGGAACCCAAATCACCCTCCATTTTAGAGGAAACTCCTTTTGGGCACCCCTTGCTGGGTTCCATGCTGATTTGCGCATCCCTCCAGTTGTTTCTTCCTGATTTGGGCTTTGTCTCAAAATGGTGAACCACTCTTCGCCCCCACCAGCCGGTTCGTGATGAGCACATTCGAAATGCACTCCCATCTCCGAAATGGAAAGCCAACCGATGCATCAAACCAACCACAAGCCAACTGAAGCCCTAGAAGCAACTGGGACAGACCGCCTATCAACTGCAGGATCTCGTCCACCGCATGAATCACGGACCTTCAAAAAAAGACTTGAAGACTCCATGGAATCAGCAGGGCCGCTGCTGCACCTCCAATGGAAGTTGGAGGGGTATCTCTGCCTGACATGATTGGGCCTTACGCATGGGTTGGTCCCTAAGTTTCCAAAGGATGAGGTGCAGCTTGTCCCATGGTTCATGTCAAAACAAGGGCCACGTAAGTCACCATCAAAACCTAATCAGGCATCAAACGCGTCTGCCACAAGCCTATGTCAAAGAACAAGAGTTCTCTGGCCGGGTATCAAAAAGAATCCGGTTGAGAACCGTGCAATGCTCAGCTCCGAGGGTTTTCTTGGGTGAAACAACGCGGCAAGGCCGGCAAGGCGCGCCTACGGCCGCCTGCACCACGCCCTCCAGCGCCCGTTGCAGCGCCCCGAAGGCTCGCCCGGGCGCCGACTGGATCCGATTGGCCACTTGGGAAGCCAACCCAAAGAGCTAACCCAAAGAAAGAAGAATGATAGAATTTGATAGAATGATTTATTTCAGCAGAGCCAGGAAGCGATAGGGAATGCGAGTGAAGAGTCCAGAGGCTCGATCCCCGAAGGCAGATTGCCCTTTGGACCGGAGGGATGTCCAACTCTTTCAACGGACTAAAATTGGGACCCTTTGAATGTTCAACCGATTGCCACACCCCCTTCGCAAAACAGCCAAACCGTTTGAGCATGCTCATGTACACTGTTTGAGCATGGTCATGTACACTGCTTGAACCGGTTTGGTCACCAACTCTGCTGTCTGCATCGCATGCGGACGCGGCAGCCTTGCACTCCAAGTGTTTCCGAGCAACCGAGGAGATCCTCGGAATCCCTCAACGAGAAATAACCCCCCCCAAGAAAAAAAGAAGAAGAGGGAGACTGGTTTTTGGGAACTGACTCTTAGTTGGACCGCTCTCGGAAAGTCACCAAAACTAAATCCAAAAAAGGCGCCTGTACGGCCTCCAGCGCCTCAGTGGCGGGCGGCGCCGAAGAACATGCCCGAAACCCGTGGGACTCTTGGGTTTATATACCCTCCCACTGATAAACATGGAACCTGACGTGCGGGACCCGGCCCCTTTAAAAGGAAAATAGTTTTCCAGGACCTCCCTGTCGGGTTCCATGCTAATCCGTGGGAGGGCAATTGATACAGGTCTTACTAGAGCCCATCAGCAGTCTTCAACCTGTGTTCTGCATGCTTGAATCTTGCTTGTGACACCCGTCCGTGGCAACTCACTGACAGCTCCATGCTGATCCCTTCACCAGGAAAATGAAGGTCCGTATGAAACCTCTGTCTGGTTGAGACAACATGAGCCGCGATTAAACTATGTTACAAAATACATAATCATAATATTGTTTATATATATATATATATATATATGTATGATTATATATCTACAAATATAAATTGAAGAAATAAAAAAATCCTTCAAAAAAAGTATTCCTTTTGCTTCCCAGCCCAGGATCCCTCTCTCGTCGGAGCTCCAGGGCCCCAGCCCCGTCCACGCCGGACTGCAAGGAGCGCTGGGCCTCGACTCGAGCCGGGCAGCTTGTGCGGTGTACACAAGATTCAGAAAGTCACAGCTATGCAAAAAGAGAATACCTCTTAAATTTGTGCGAAATCTCAGAGGGACATTTCGGAGAAATGACTCTCCACCCGAAAATCCGGAAAAAACCGCTCTCGGGCCGACACGGCGGCCGCTTGCGCCTGCGGACTGGGCACTGCAAGCCCAATAGGGTGGGGGGGGGAATCACAACTGGTGAGGACCAAACCGGGAGGAACACTGGGGACCGACTTTTGGACAAAAGAAATGAGGCGAGCCAACCATGTGGCGCGCTTTTTGGTACATGTCGTACATGGCTCAAGGCACTCTGATGTCGCAGTTGAGGGCTTCATCCACAACCCCTCTCTCCGCCTAAAGATCCGACACATACGTCACGTGTCCGTGAAATCGGCGCAGGTGACGCGACCACGAAGGATTCATCCCAAAAGAAAAGAATCAGAAATGTTGCCTCGCTTTTGGTAGAGTCTCACCATCCAAAAAGAGCAACCCAGCGCGGGTCCTCACGATCCCCCGGCGCCCTTCCCGTCGCGGGATGCCTCGCCGGCCTGGGCTAGGGAGTCCAAAGCCGCCTGCCGGTGCTGGGGACCCCTTCATCCGGCGGGTCTTCAAAACTGGGCCTGGTTCAACCCATCCAAGTCAAGAGGTGTTCAAAGAGTGGAATGATGCCTCAGAACAGAACAGGGAGGAAGCAGCCAAGGAAGATCTTCAGACTATGCGAAGGACAGGGCGAGCACCCTCAAATCCCTCTAGACGAATCATCTGTGCCCCAAATACCGTTGATTCTGACTGTGCTGACAAATGTTCGTCTGGAACCTGTCTGATCAAGACAAGCAGCAAATCATCACAACACCTTTGGAGTCGATGAACACAGGCATAGAGAAGCATGCAAAACATCAACCCTTCCAGTTGACGAAGCTCGCTCCCACACGACTTACCAACTGAGTATTTGGATCTCACCGCTGGTGACTCCCGTTTCGGCGCTTCTTTTCTTTCTTCGGGAACATACATGGGCCTGTGTCCGACTAGTGGAAACCCCGACCTCGTGTGCTCCTTTTCTTCCCATCGAAGCCCACCCAAAAATGGCGACTCAAGAAAGCACTCCAGTGGCTCGCCTCTCAAACAGCAAAACTAACTCATGCGGAATCCAAAAAGGGGTCCCCAGAAAGAGATTCCTGAGACACATGAGGGCTTTGGAGGTCCACAAAACGCCTCAACAATACACCAAATCACCCCTCCCCTCCACACTTCCACCCTTCCCGTTGCCCATTTGGGGGGAGACGCCAGGGCTAAAGGGTAAACGTCAAAACAAACGCATCATGGTCCCAGTGAAAAAAAAGAGAATAAAAAAGTGAGAAAGGCAGAGAAGCAGATTCATCCGAGGAGAAACCCTAGTCAGGGAAACCCAAGAGCAGATCCTTTTCCTTACTCCAATACGGGGAACCGCCCCACGTCCACAGCCCCGCACAAGAAATGTGTTTCGCCTGCGGCAGCTTCTGCAGCCGCTGCAACGCCTTCTCCAGCGCCTCCTAAAAAGAAAATCGGCTCCCGCTGACGCCAGGCGAGACGGCTTCCCAAAGCGGTTTCTCGAGGAAGCACTCCAAGGGGCAACCAACTCACAGATTCCACGCCACAAATGGAGCGAAACGGAATAGTCAACCAGAAAAAAAAGAAACTCCGCAACCGAACCCCCCTCTCAAAGTTTGAAAAAACTTGTGAAAGAATTGAAATCTTGAGACAAGAACTGAAACCAAAATGGCCGTCTGGGCCGGAGTCGCCTGCGGCACCTGCTTCGCGCGCTCCACTGCGGCATCCGCCTGATTTTTTGTGCGGCGGCGGGAGTCCAGGCGTCGGGGCCAACGGACAAGCCTTTTTGCAGCCTGAAACCGGGATCCTTACATTAGACACCTGAACATTGCCTTGTAAATGGTGGTTTCCCTTTATTTTGGTGGAAAAAGCCATGTTTCAAGTGGGCAAAATGTATCTTTTAAGGAGCCCTGTGAAACAAACAGCAAAAAACAACATGATGGAAGACCTGGGTGAGTTTTCAGACGAGTTGGAAAAAACGGGATATAAAAAGGAACCATCCAGAGTGCGTGGACAGCAGCCACCACAAAGTCTGCTGGCGGTATCCTAGACCAAAAAAAAACTAAAATGATGCGAAAAATGAAAGCGACAGACCGACTGAGCAGAGTGCCCTTGTTTGTCATTCTAGCAAACAACGCACCTTCCGCATGAGCCATGGCTGGCTATCACCATCCGCGCTGATGATGCTGGACCCTCAAAATACCCAACAAAACCATCTGCCAAATGACCGATCTTGTGATTCGGCTCATGGATCTGGTAGGTGAAAGGCCAGGTTACTCAAGGCACCACCCACAATTTGTCTCAAGGCGATGGACCTTGACACAACCTCCAGAATTTCGGATTGCAAAGGACGCTCAAGGCCTTAGCACGGTCCAGTCTGTCAAAGACTCTGTCGGATCAATGCAAGCCGAATTTCAAAGGCCACACACCAGGCCCCCTCCCAATTACACGCGATGTCTTGAAAAAGGCATCGGTCCGGGCCTCGGAATTAGGTTTCCCTTCAAGTGTCCCAACAGGGCGTACCCTCCAAACAAATGCAATTACCCTCCCTCCCCCCAACATAGCAATCCTGGAAGGTCAACTTCCCCTCTGTCAGGTGCCATGGGAGTCTTCAATGGACCCTCCATATTAGTGAGGTTACCAAGTTTCCCAGCCCTGAAAAAACGGGAGTTACCCCAACCGAACGCCCGAACTCACGAACCGACTTGCCTCCTCCTTCAGCTTCTGCTTCCTCCGCTCCAGCGCCTCTGAGGCTTTCTCCCCCACTTGCTTCGGCAGCGCCGCGATCTGCGGAACTCTCCGCTTTCTCGTTCTCCGCTTTCGGAAAACTGGGGCTCCCTGTGAATGTCAACGCACGAAAGGGTCCCATGTTGGTTTCCCGAACCAGCCTGAGAACCAGAGACTCGATACAAAACACACACAACACACACACACACACGCGCGCACGCACGCACGCACGCACCCACGCACGCACGCACGCACGCACGCACGCACGCACGCGCGCGCGCCCATGTCCTCCTTAAACACAAAGCACAAAAAGAATGTGTCTATCGAGCGTGACATCGAATTGGCATATAAGTTGATCCAACGTTTACAATATATTTTACAAGCAGGATGTAGTTATCTGGTTCATCTAAATCCCACAATGGGTTATAAGTTATAAGTGATTCTGGTGTGATTCTTCAATGAAGGTGAAATAGACAGTAGTCGTGGCGTGCAACGGGCATGTTGTTCATTGTCAATTATTGAAACATATGATTGTAAACATGATGATGCACCTGCCCCCCGGTTCCCATGTTTCCTCCTTTGGTAGTTTTAGAGTCACTTTGGCGGCCAATTCAAAGTGAGTTTCCTTCAAGTGGGGCGACGGCTGGGTTCCGACAGGTGGTGTCTGAACCGTCACCCAAAGGGCTGTGTCTCACGTGCCCCGAAGGTGAGGTTTCAAGGTATGTCAGATGGAACCCACCGCCTTTCAGTTGGGTTTTGTTCATGGTCGAAAAATCCCCTGATTCGTATCCTCCGACATGCCCTGGAAGTCCCGTTCCAACATCGCTTCCGAAATCGCTTCCGCAAAGAGCCTCCCAGAAGGGCGGAGGGTCGGGGGTGGAGAAACAAGGCAGCTCGAGTGCTAAGGGAAACAACAAAGTCTGTCCTGCACCATTGATTGCAAGGGGCAATCGGGAGTTCAAGTTCAAAGAAGCGCAGAAACAAAGATACTTCGCAGAAGACACGAGAGTGCACATCTTTCAAGCATCTTTTGGCTCGCTTTGGACTCGCTGGACTGCTGAATGTCTGTGTCGGGAGGAAATAAAATAAACTTTTTGGCTCTGGCCAAACAAGCAAAGTATAGAGCCGAGAATGGTCCGACGTCCCACCAGCCACGACATCGGGTCAAGTAATGCGCAATGTCTCAATCACAAGCTCTGTCACGTCGTACACAAACTCCTGCGCTGGGTTAGCTTCTGGCTTCCGCGCTGCCCTTTGTTCTTGGCCGGATCGGTATGCTGAAGACCATCCTTGCCAGCAGACAGCCAGCCAAGCGAAGCCCGCAAAACGGCACGAAACAATGGGGCATCTGTGGACAGGCAGTGATCTGGGTGTGTCTTTCTTTAAGGGACCTCAAAAATGGTGAGTGTCCTTTTGGTTTCCCCACAAAGCCCACAAAAAGAAAACTCAGGAAAGACACGCCCATTTGCCACGCCAGCGCCGCGCCTATCCTTCTAGCCCAGCACCTCTGCAACCGCGGAGCCGGCCTTCCCTTGCTTCGAAGGTACGACGCTCGACGTAGATTCAGCTTGCTCAGAGCGAGAGTCGTACCACCCGACCTCTGTTGCTCATCGAGCATGCGTTGAGTGCTTCTCAGCATAGGACATCAAACGAACATTGTGACTTTGTCCATTGAAAGGCCTAGAGCACCCTCAACTGCCAAGCGCCAAGTGCCTTGAATCCGCACAAGTGGCGTGCACGGGGTGCACTGGGAGCCAGGATGTGCGGTCTTGTCGAGGAAATCTGAAATTTGCTCTCCCAACTCTGGTGGCCACAGCGCACAGGGGGCACTTGCCCAAAGGACCTGGACGCAAAGGGGTCTCGCTGTGAAGCACGTAGGATTCTCATTTCCATGACTACTTCATCACGGTTCCGATCGCTGTCTGAATGGAGCTGATTTCACCATGACAATTTCAAGCACGTGGCACGTGGGTAGTATTTGCGACATGCAGCTCTCGCACGTTCTTCGGGACCATCGACAACCCTCCAGGAGAGCTATCAGAGAGTTTCCCAGGCCGTTCACGTAAAAGGCCACTCGGCAAACTGGGATGTTCACTTGTGGTTCGGGGTGAAAAGCTGTAAAGCCAAGTGGATGACTGCCAGATCTCCCAATATTGATCATCAAAAGACCGAAGTGAATCCTGCAGAAGCCGCAGCAAGGAGGCATTGCGTGTACTGCGAAAGTCATGAGCGAGAACGGAATGCTAGCACAGGGAGACCCTGCAAAATCTGTCCGCCTGCTACAGAAACTGTGGCTCCCTCTGGGCCGAAAGCAACCACAGGCGCACCAGGGTCGGGAGTGGCAAAACAAGGCAGCTTGACACTGTAAACTGCGCAAGCGCAGCTGGAAAAGCCCGTCATCATTGTGGGGCCAGGTTTTCATGGCTGGTATCTGGGTGATTTCCTTGGCTCAAACCTATCCTTTACAAACCTCCCTAGTTATATGAGTCCACCAAGCAGATCTTTGCCTCATCCCGATGGCCCATGCCTTCTGCTTCTGCTGCTCCACGGCCTCCTGCGCCGCCGCGCTGATCTTGACGGGAATGGCATTGATCTGGCGTCCCAGACGCGCGCGTCACACGAACACCGGACACCGCGGACACGGCGGACATGGCGGACACCGACGAGTAGCAAAAAAAGGCGCAGATTTCCGTACCAAGGAGCGACCAAACCCAGAACTCACGTACTGGTCGGCTGCTGGTGAGACACATACAGCTTGCCTTCGTGCTTCTGCTGTCCTCGGCCTGCCACCTTTTCAGAAAAATGATGTGCCGGTTCGTCTAACCTTCACATTTTTGGATCTACCGACATGGCTTAGGCTGAAATAGGCTTTTCTGCCCGATTAAACAAGCTCATTGGTAGAACCATTTCAGAAGAGCCATGCTTGCTCATTTACATGGACTGGCCACCAAACTGCGCGCAATGTGCGGCCTACAACAGGCAACAGACCCGGAGAGCCGCGCGCGGCTGCGCGCCTCCGCCTGCAGCTTGCCTTTGGCCTCGTCCACACGGCTCTGCAGCGCGCTTTGGGCGGATTGGCCTCGGCTAAAAAATGCGGAGCCGCGTTCACTAAAAGCATCCGGCCTTCGCATTTTCATGTGTGTCACCGCCTGCGGAATTGAGGGTTTCAATGGAGCCAAACAAACAACAGCACCATTTTGAGGCCTGTGTGGAATGAAAAGGAAGCCGAAAGGAGAGCCATGTTGAGTGGCCCTGAGCATGAACCATGAGTGATTGGAAGTGACTCCACTTCACTTCACTTCACTTCACTTCACTTCACTTCACTTCACTTCACTTCACTTCACTTCACTCACTCACTCATCTTCACTCACTCACTCACCCTTTCACCCCCACTCACTCACTCACACTCGCTCAGAGGGAGGATCATTGTTCGCCACGGACACCCTCAACCCCGGCCCCCGACCCCCGGAAGAAGAATAAGGGGGAGGGGGCTTGCCATGATGCTGGCAGGCCATGTATCTTGGATGTTGTTGAAAAGCTTTGTGCTAGACTTGGCGCTGATTCAGCTAGGGGTGTCACTACAGCCAGGGCGAAGCAAGCGCTAAGACAACGCGAGCCTGAGCGGAGGACGACTGTCCCTAATGTGATCACTTCCGTGAGTTCGATTCTGCAACCCTGGAACTCCCCAAAGAACACACTTCTGACCCCCCCCAAACAACCCAACCCCAGCGCGTGCCTTCAGCCCTTCTTCTCTTTCTTCTTTTTCGGCACATCCTGCAGAACACCCGTCTGCTTTTTTTTTGCGGGAGGTGGTGTCCTGTGCCTCGAGCAAGACCTTGAGGCGGTCCAATTCAGCCTGACAGAATCGTGAAATCAAAAGGCAATGAGATGACTCCCCGAAAAAAAACTATCGCCTGCTGAAGGCGACACCGCTCCCGTCAGCTCGCGAGCTCATCTCTGACTGCCTGAAATAGGAAAAGATGTTGGGGAGCGCAGTAACACCGCCCTCGCTGGCCCGCCTCCCAGTTCCTACGGCAACTGGCTGCGCTCATGCGAGAAAATCCTTTCTTGCGCAACCTCGCCTTCAACTGCGCCATCCTCCTCTTCTCCTGTCACGAACGGATGAAAAAAAAAAAAGAAAAGACGTACAGCGATCAAATGTAAACAAGCCAGCAGCGCCAACTCCTGCTTGACCTCCTTGTAGTTGCGGCACCACGACTCCGCCTCCTTCGTCATGTAGTCCCGCTCGTTGGTCGTCTTCTGAAGTGCCAGGGCCTGTGAGCGCAGGCGGGCACTGTTTACATGCTCGGAGACTCACAGGGCTCGAACCAAGGAGTTCTTCTCGGCGAGAGCCGCGATCTTCTGCTTCTCTTCGTGCTCAAGCGCAGCGGCCTAAGCGGAGATGAACCCCGCTTTGACAAAGTAAAAGCAAGGCTTGGACAAGGTAATCCCAGCTGTCGCAGCTTCCTTCGCCTAAAGTGGGAAAAAGGAGAAAAGAAGGCCGACACGCGCATGACGAGGTCGCTGCGGTGGCTTTCCGCTCCTCCCTAGCTCCGCTCCGGCTCAGCTCCGGCTCCACTCAGCTCCGGCTCCGCTCCGGCGTTGCTCTTCGCTCCGGCTCCGCTCCGGCTTCACTCTGGCACTGCTTTGTGTGCTGCTTTGCAGCAAGCCGCCACTTCGCCTCCACGCCTCCCCGTCAAATTCTTGCGAGCAAAATGGGGCTGCCCCAACCCCCCGCATACTTTGTAGACACACAAGTCGGGGTTGAGGGCCGCTCGGGAGTCACACAGCTCATTCTCGACGGGGGTGCAGCAACCCTACCCACCTACCGCAAGGAAAACAACTGGAGCTCAAAGAGGGACAACAGGACGCATAGCAGTCACTGACGCCAACGCAATTCCTGGGCAGGCGGAACCTAGTTCAGACAGTGATTGACTGAGAGAGCGCGAGGAGGGAGTCAGGGGAGGCAGCGAAGGTGGGGGGGGGTTTGTTGTTTCAAGGTTCCAGAGTTGAACCATGGGGGGCCCAACCAAGCCGGAGACCACGCGGTGTGTTGCTGAACCCTTGTTGAGGATCTAGGTGCTGCGTCTGTTGCAGATACTGTGTTGTGAGATCTGCGTTCTGCACACTGTTGCCGCCGAGCCTGTGCAACAGTTCACGAATCATAAAGCGGGGAGGGCTTTTCCAGTCAAGTTTCGGGCTTGGGTCTGGATGGTCCTCCCTTTTTTCAGATCAGCACTTTGGCGCTTCTGTGGCTGGGGCCGTGGCCGTTCTGTAGTTTACATTTTCATGTAAAGAAGAGGACTTTTCCGGTCGGGCCCCATTGCCCTTCTCATAGCCGCTCGAGCTTGCGCCGTCCATCTCAGCACCATCTGTCTATTGCTTGTTGTTGCTGACGTTGCTGCTTTTCCAGTAGCGTTGGAAATTGCGCGCCCTCCTGGCCGTGTTGGCATTCTGTATGTGCTACTAAACACGATCACTGCTCCGCTACTATGTAAAAGTGCCACTGACGTGTTCACAACTCTGTTGCTCCAAAGTCGATCAGCAACCGCGCTGTTTGTCCATGGCCCTACCGATGGAATCGCGGCACAAGGGCCCTGCTTGCTGTCACGTCAAGCTGGACAATGTTGATCAGAAATCAACTCGATGGTCTGACAATCACCGTGTTGGATTGATGCACTCGCTTCACAAGCGACGCTGATGAAACCCGACCACATTGCTGCTCATTGCAATCCCAGTTCATTCACCGGGATCACTTCCTACAGCATTGACATAGCTGCTGAAGCTCTACAAGATTTCTTGCAAAGCCAGCCAAGCTGCATGCCCAGGTGCTCTTGACTCCTTGCTTCAAGTTGATCCGGCGCTAGGGGACGAAGATGATGTTGGCGGTGTGCTGACCAGCATGCTGGAGCATGTTGATACCAGCGTCCTTAGGGATTGGACGAGGAAACACTGGCGTCGGTCGATCTCCTCTTGGCTTGCAGTGTTGTCAAAGATCCCTGAAGGCCATGTACTAGCAATAAGCCGTTTTTCCATGTGAGACAGCTGAAGAGCCGAATCCCTGTCTGCAGGGGAGTCACACGATAAGTCTTGATCGACGCCAGCTCTCTGGCACCTCACCTCACCTCACCTCACCTCACCTCACCTCACCTCACCTCACCTCACCTCACCTCACCTCACCTCACCTCGCCACTCGCTCTCACTCTCACACTCACACTCACGCTCACTCACTCACTCACTCACTCACTCACTCACTCACTCGCTCGCTCACTCACTCCCTCACTCACCCACCCTCGCTCGCTCGCTCGCTCCCTCCCTCCCTCACTCACTCATTCACTCACTCACTCACGCACTCATTTGTTCACTCACTCACTCACTCACTCACTCACTCACTCACTCACTCACTCACTCACTCAGTCACTCACTCACTCACCTCTCCCTCCTTCTCACTCTCCCTCTCCTGCTCTCTGTCCCTCGCCCACTCACTCGCGTGCGAACACGGCCTCCTCCTCACACTTATAAACGGGAACCCTTCGCTATGCAATAAAAACCACTTTTGAGTCACAATCAGAACCTATTAAAAGCAAAGGGCAAATCAAAAAAAAATATGAATCAGAACCTACAAAAAGAAACGGACCCCTCAAACACATAAATAATCCGCTCGCCTCGGGTCTATCCCTCCCCGTGACAAACCCCCCACCTGCGCTGGCGGCGGCCGCGGCCGCGGCGGCGCCGGCAGACAGCGCGGCCTGCGACAGGGCCTCAGCCACCGCGTCCGCCAGCTCCTGCGGACGCAACCGCTGACCTCAAAATCAAAGGAACTAGTCATGGTTGGGGGGGGGGGGCCACTTTTGGACACTCGTCAAAACCGCCCGGCCTTCCTTTGGTGGCCTTCCTTTGGTGGCCTTCCTTTGGTGGCCTTCCTTTGGTGTCCTTCCTTTGGTGGCATTCCTTTGGTGGCCTTCCTTTGGTGGCATTCCTTTGGTGGCCTTCCTTTGGTGGCCTTCCTTTGGTAGTTTTCAAATGTTACCCTGAAATTCACCGCCTTGTGAACTCTGTTGCAAGGATGTCGGATGGAACTGAAACCCATAGGCGTAATTTGGAACGAATTCTGCTCGGACGGCAAATCGAGTAGAGTAAAACCAATGGTGAAATCAAATCAACGTGGCATCCAACGCCTTTCCCTGAGTGCTTCAAGCGGAACAAGTTGGAAGGTTCAGGAACAGATGTGGCCCAAAAAGCTGAAGCACCAATCCCAGAGCGAAGTTTACACCTATCAGCCGGAATCAAAGTCTGGCGGTGCTTGTCCATACCCGCTTACATACTGGGGTAAAGGCCAAAAGACTCTGACATGCTGGTGTGTCTTTCCCTTCTGCCCAGCTGGCTACATAACCACTACGGAGTGAGCCAGGGAACCAACAAGCTGAGATGCAAAAGGAGGAGGGATATCTGCACCAAATTATAGCGATGGCTTTCCCAACAAATTGACTCAAATGGCTACCTCCCTCACATCCCAATGGGAAAACCCATTAGAAAGGCCCGAAGAAGAGACACCCATGCTCCAAGTCTCCCAAACAAGGACAAGGTCAGGAAACCTCTGGAGGTATGGAAAAGCCAGTTGCTTCCGAAAGGTTTAAAAGGCGACTTGATTATTTCAAAGAGCAGTGATGTGTAAAAGAGCCAATTGAGGCCGAACAAGGCGCATTCAGGCTTGAAGGGCGTGAGAACATGTAAAAACCCTGTGAGTCACCACCTCCAGTGGATTCTCATGGGCACACAAATCACTGTTTAAAGTTGTTGGTTGAATCCAGTTGATGTGTGCAAGCCCTTCAAAAGAAACGAACCCGTTGTTTTCCTACGATTTCAACGCCTAATCCCCGCTCCCCCTCCACCTCCGCAGCCCAAAAACGGCCGCGGGTTCTCGCATCTTTCGGCTTAAGGGAAGCCCAAAATGCAGAAAAAAATGGCCGCTGGATCCTGGCGTCCAGATGTCAACCCTCCTCTTTCAGCTTCCCCGCTCCAAAATCCTATGGTGGACACCAGAAATGCACATTTGGCGGTGTGTTAACCGTTCAAATACGAAGCCGTTAAAAATTGGGTATGTAGAAAAAAGGTATGACCCCAAAATGTGTAAATTGCTTTGTACCAAGGTGAGAAGAACAAACACCACTCACGCATATACAGTACATGGTTCTGCCCCTTCCAAAAACAACAAGAGGTGATGGTAACAGACCACAGCCCCTAAATCGAAGCACCACGAGAAATATCAAAATATATCGAATTGGCATGGTTTTGGTTCTACATGTTTTTCACCGCACTGCCCCCAGACCACGGTTTCCCTGAGCTGATGTGTGCCCTTGCGTATCTGGCAAGGAAGACCAATGCGCCTTTTCGTTCGATCTCTCCTTCGACTCACCCTTCTCAACCTTCTCAGCCGTTTCAGGCTTCTCAACCTTCTCTGGTCGCTCCTGGCCGGACCAAGGGCCATTCCATGTCGACCCATCCCAACAAATGCTGCTCCGGGGTTTCCAATAAAAAGATCCCGACCATCTTATCCAGAGCCCCCCCACGGACTAAGGGTCTCTCAAACGCCGCAAATGGACCAAGAATGGTTGGCTGACATAGTGACTTTCCATGGAGTTCCACATTTCCCGCTTAGTCATGAGGATCCTTGCCATGCTCAATTTTGATTTCCCCCACAAAGACTTGGATTTCGAATTCCCATTCAAATTCTTTTGGCGTGGGAAAACCAAACAAACAAAGCCCATGACCCTCTCAACTGGACCCGGCAACTTTTTGACACTCGTCAAAACTACCTGGCCTTCCTTTGGTGGCCTTCCTTTGGTGGCCTTCCTTTGGTGGCCTTCCTTTGGTGGCCTTCCTTTGGTGGCCTTCCTTTGGTGGCCTTCCTTTGGTGTTTTTTCAAATGTTACCCTGAAATGCACCGCCTTGTGAATTCCAGGCTTTTGAATATTATTCTGCATTCATTTTGCTCTGCTCCTATAGTTGCCAAGGGCCAATTCTCGAACTCCTCTAAAAGGTCCCTCTCAGGCTGATAGGGGTGAAATACGCTCTGCTTCAGCCTTTTGGGCCACATCTGTTCCTGAACCTTCCAACTTGTTCACTGCTTGAAGCACTCAGGGAAAGGAGTTGGATGCCAACTTCGTTGATTTCACCCGTTGTTTTACTCTACTCGTTTTGCCGTCTGAGCAGAATTCTGTCCAAATTACGCCTATGGGTTTCAGTCCCATCTGACATCTTGCAACAGAGGTGTTTGTACTGTACATACCTTCTTAAATACTTGTGTAAAGTCGAAAAGACTCCGACATTCCGGTGCTTCTTTCCCTTCTGCCCAACTGGGTATTTAACCATTACAAAGTGAACCAGGGAACCAACAAGCCGAGATGAACAAGGAGTATGACCTTCCGCTCAGGATATCTGCACCAAGTTCTGGGGAGGAAGCTGTTCATGTGATGGCAGGAATCATCAACCCCCCAGTCACCCCTCCAGTTTGTAGGTGGCTCTCATCACAATAATAGTGCGCAAATCCATCCCATCGACTCAAAACCGGGAACTCGCCTTGCCCTCCTTCACCTCCTTGTTGTCCGATCTCTCCTTCGACTCCACCTTCGCGACCTTCTCAGCCTTTTCAGGCTTCTCAACCTTCTCTGGTCGCTCCTGGCCGGACCAAGGGCCAACAAAACTTTGGTCCGGAATGGTCATAAAGCTGGGAGGCTTTTCCGGATACGCCTGGCAGATGAGAAGACCCCGACCCTTTCATCCACAGCCTCCCCACGAACTCATGGGTCTCTCAAACGGAAATGGACGCAAGATGGTTGGCTGACTTGTTGACTTTCCACACAGAGCCCCACATTTCAAAACGCACACCCTCAGAATCAGAAGGAACTAGTCATGGTGGCATCTCTGCCATGCTTTAAGCCCCTGTCTGGCGAGATCCAAAGGAACCCTTGGCTGGGACTTGAAATTTCTCGCGAAATCGCGGCCGCAAACCTGCTCCAGGCCGAGAGACGTCCAGCACCCTCTCTCAGTTTGGTTCACTTTTAGAAAGTCAGTTAGCAAAAGATCGCCTGGGCAATCTTGCCCGACTTGCAGGCCAACGGTTGAGCCCAACAGGTCCACGGTCCAGAATGGAAATGCATCCTTGCCATGTTCCGCAGACTTCGTTCTCTTGCTGAAGCCTGTGGGCGTGTTCCCTCTCTCATCCCATTCTTAGCACAAATTCTTCCTGATCATCACTCATTCATGCTCAATACAAAGCAGCGAAGCCTGGTAAAGAACCAGGTGGCAGGAATCCCGACCCAAATGGTGTCCACTTCATTTCCATTAAAACTCATGCCAATGGGGTATCACTCGAATTTGCTTTCATTCGTAAGTTCCCACTGGCCGTGCAGGGGTGCGTGGTTCTGTCTGAGCAGTCCAAACA